AAGCTGGACGTTAACCTTTCACAAAACCCAGTTGCGGAAACCTCAGGAGGCAAGGGACATGAGCTGCAACTGGATTAACTTGAATAGCCAAACATCAGTCATTCCCCCCAAAATGCTATAGTAAATTTTACTGGTTAACACCAAGATATCTATTACTTCAGGACTAGCTTTTTGAACTCAGAATCTACAATTCAGATACCAAGCTGGAAGGTTTTCAGTGTCTGTAGATCCAGTAAGCCGTATTCTAGAATGTTTACAGAAAAGGGAAGGTATCAGAATTTTCCTTTGAACAGGTTCATACGGAGAAAAAAAAAAACAACAAAACACTTCTCCAGGACCAAAAACTTATACTTGGTATTACATTGGCTTCATCCCTGACTATCTTCTGTAGAACTCTCGGAATATACAGAAATCGGTGGAAAGATGTAGGCTTCCAAGGTATAGCTAGGGCATCGAGGAAGCCTGGATGGTCTGCACTGAATGCTTGATTGACATAGGCAAACTTTTTAAAATTTTCAAGGCCATATAGTCTACTTCTGGTTTTCCAAAAAGATCAACTACTACCCGAAAGGTCTGAGGAGTGAGCGACAAAGCTCTCTGTTTTAGATGATTTCCACATAAAGCATTCGCTAGAACGTTGAAGTTCTCTTTCATAACTACTGCCTTTAAAGAATGAAAATGTAATTCTGCCCACAACATGATTTTAGAGCAAAGGTTCTTTAGGGAAGAGGAGTGTGTTCCTCCCTTCCTGTTGATGTAGGCCACTGTAATGGCATTGCCTGAGTGAACTTGAACATGATGATGTAGAAGGAGTTTGAAACTTGAGAACCATTCACATTATCTACTTCAGTGTGGATGTGGGGCTCAATATGTGGGCCGTACTTCGAGAAAATTGCATATCAGAATTTTAGTATCTACTTCAGTGTGGATGTGGGGCTCAATATGTGGGCCGTACTTCGAGAAAATTGCATATCAGAATTTTAGAACATTTTAATAACATAAAGAAAAAGAAAGTAGATCATAGTGTCCCTAGACATTGCAATGCATGCCCGTTATTTAAGTGGAATACTTTCCAAGCATTTGGTATAGATTCTATTCATTTAGGTTGGAGAGGAGGAGATAAACTACAAGAGTTAATTAAAAAAGAGGCTTTTTGGATTTTTAATCTGAAAACTTTACACCAGGGGCTTAATCAGGAAATTGATTTACAAGGTCTAATTTGAATTAGATTAATACTTCTTTAAATGAGGCAATATGAGTTTTCCTCTTATTTCAGAATTTTGTGGGGTTTATATGGTTCTGCGTGTCTTTATTATATGGTTTTGGTCTCTTTTATATATTTTTATATATTATGTCATAACAGTATGTAATATGTTCCCAGGTTTTGGGTATTATATGCATATTTATTATATGTTATATATGTGTTTTTATTTTCATCTACATTATTTCATCTGGTTCTCAGTTCTATTGGGCGGATTATTCCGCCCGTTTTGACAATTTTTGTCTTTTATAGGTTCTAGTAATACCATTCAATTATGAGCACATTGAACATGCGCTCTTTTCGGGCGCATGTGTATAGACTACATTCATGCGTTCCATGATACCGGAAATTACATCACTTCCGGAACGCAAGGGCTGTTATCCTGTTTCGTGCGTGTCACGGATGACACGCACGCCAGCTGAATGTCGAACACCCGGGCTTTTCAATTTAATATGATTGTATGCACCGCTATATATACCCGGAAGTGCCATCACTGACATATCCCTGAGGAAATCCCCTTTTTTGTCGGACGAAATGCGTTGGATACTTCTGAACCTATACATGCTGCTATTTGTTTTTATATCCTGTATGTAATTTTTATATTTATTTTATTTTAATTTTATTGTATCCTGCCTGCTCCATTGGATCTTCTATTGGACTTTTCCTATATCAGTTTTGGAGTTCCATGTGATTTGGAGATATGCCTGTCAAATCTTTTCTCCTGTAAGTGTGACCAATAAATATGATTCTGTAATATAATTACATGCTTCACTATATTTGTTTCCTATTCTTCTTCTATATATCCCACGGAGGAGGATTATCTACTAAGATTACTACCCTTTTGGAGGGTGAGAAGCCTGAATTCCAATTTTGTTTGTGAGTGAATTCATTTTCACTAATATACTCACTTTTCTAGTACTATATTACGCTATGTTAGTTTTTTAATTCTCCATACAGATTTTGTCTGCGAATTATTACCTATATCTCAGGTTATTTCCATTTATGGTTATAATATCACGTATTTGGGAGGTGTTTCCACTTTGTCTTTTTTAACCATCCACACTGCCTTTAGTTCTCTAAAGTTTGAAGATCTGGCGTATGGAACGGTCCATTGGCTTCTTGTAGAAATGCTTCCCATTTGAGCTCCCCAAACAACAGCTGAAGAGTTTGTTAAAATGTGAAAGTTTTCCTTTAAGCTGAAAGAGGCCATCCCGTCAGGAAACTTGGGTATTCCAATCAGCTGAACCGTTTTATTGTTGATGGCGAAATTCTCATTAGGCGATCAAGAGATGCCTGATCCCTGTTCCAAGGATGTTTTTCTGGAATACTCTCATTCTTACCAGTTGACCGCTCGAGGAGGTAAAATCCAGACTCCCTAACAGAGCAGTTCTTCAGAAACCAAGAAGAGTCCTCTCCAGCCACAGCCATCTCACCCTGCCTGAGAGTCCTACGTACCCTGCCAAAGGCAGGCAGACAACTGGGGCAATTGTAAGATTGGCAGATTTTATAGGGCGAGAGGAGGAGGATTAGGAGGGGCTTAACCTCTTAGTTTTTCTTCTTTTTTTTTTAATATATATACAGTTACGCCTGCCTTTCCTGCCAAATAGAAATGATATCCCTCTTGTTGCACTGGATCTAATGGATGGAAAATAAAGCATATTTGTTACTTTGTATACAACATCAAAAATGAAAACAAAAACTGCGGGAAGGTGCCAGTGAGCTGGTGATGAGCTAAGTTTTGATGAAACGGTATGTTGATTAGTTAGATACTAGTTATGGACAGCAACAACCAACCTATGCTCAGCCAAACTGGTTCGAAAACAAACATTCACATCTACATGAACTAAACAGAACAGTTGCACAATAAATACATATATTCCTAGATATGGGTCTGTGTTTATCCAACCTTATTACTTGCAGCGTTAAATATTTTTTCCAGCAATGTAATGTGCAGATAAGTGACTGTTCCTCTTTTAAAGAACACTTGGAGACCCTGCATTTCGGTTTTGCATCCATTTGTTTTTCTCTATACAAGACCAAGTCTCTGACAAAAATATTGAAATATCACCTATAACTTGTTTTAACCTTTTTTTCATGTGAGTCTCAGTTTTCTTTTAAAAGTAAAGGAAAGGGCAGAGTTTATAACCATAATAGATAAGAAGGCAATACGGAGTTTAACTTAAACTTTAAAAGGATACAGGTAGATTTACACGCACACACACATATTTAGTAAATACAGAATATAAGTAATATATTTAAAAAAAATTCAGGAAAGGGATAGATTCCCCTTTTTATATGGATATACTTTGTGACCCTAAATAACTAATTGTTATGTTAAAGGTCTGGCGTATCGTGTTTAAAGGGACACTATAGTCACCAGAACAACTACAGCTTATTGAATTTGTTCTGGTGAGTAGAATCATTACCTTCAGGCTTTTTGCTGGAAACACGGTCTTTTCAGAGAAAATGCAGTGTTTACATTACAGCCTAGTGATAACTCCACCAGCCACTCCTCAGATGGCTGCTAGAGGTGCTTCCTGGGGCAGTGTTGCACAGTGTGACTGACATTCAGTGTCTCCACCCTCTGTCAGCAGACACTGAACCTTCCTCATAGAGATGCATTGATTCAATTAATCTCTATGAGGAGATGCTGATTAGCCAGGGCTGTGTTTGACTTGTGCTGGCTCTGCCCCTGATCTGCCTCCTTGACAGTCTCAGCCAATCCTATGGGGAAGCACTGTGATTGGCTCAGACCACCACTTCTGATGATGTCATCAGACAGAGGCTGTTCAGGGGCAGAGCCAGCAGCTGCAGACTTGAATACAAGATGTTACTATATTTAGGAAGGCAAGGTGGGAAGGGAGGAAGGTGGCAGAGAGGCTAGATGATGGTTTTAACACTATAGGACTAGAAATACATGTTTGTCTTCTTGATCCTATAGTATTCCTTTAATAACACTCAGACAGTGAATACAGTTACTGGGACATAACACCACAAGACTCATAGGGTCACAGAACTGATCCGACATGGTTTTATGGTAGTTTTTGTTCCCATTTTACTATAAATACAAAAAGTTAAATGTTGGGATCACTGACCTCTCCAAAGAATAGCCCTAAAAGCAATCCATGCTTGTTAATACAGTCTTCAGGATATTTCTTTACCTTGTACATCTTTATCAAAATGTAAAACTGGCTGCAGCCCTTCTCCCTGCCAACTCGGTACATGGCCCAGTGCTTCTCAAAAAGATGGGTTGGCCCCCAAGGAAATGCCGGATAGCGAGTCTCCACCAGGACCGGCTCCAGGTGCCAGTGGACCACCTGGGCTGAGGGCCCCCCTAGGCAATGCACGCAAACAGAAGATTACCACCAACAGACGGCAAAAAAGTGGACTCTCCTGCACTCCACGGATGGGGAAGGACTCAATTGCAAGGAATCTCTAGGCTGAGGGGCACAGGCAACTATCCCTCAATGAGGAATGGGGCTGGAAATGTACTACACCATGGTGCCAATACGCTGCAAGCCCAAACAGACGGCCTGAAGGCACTGTGTGCTTACCGACTATAGGGGTTGGGTGATTCCCGTCCTCCCAAATTGATCTCCACCAGAACACACAATTTTACTGCTCCCCTGCTTGCTATATATGGTGATTAGCCTGATAAGTTACAGCATGTGAAACCTATGACTATAATAATCACTCATGCCTTTTGTCTTGCCATAACTTAACGTAGCTATGATTTTAGCTAACATTATTAAAAAAATTGTACATATTTATTGTACGAGCCTTGCAGTTCTCTCACATACCTGCAGCATCCTGTTTGTTTGAAAACACCTCCCATGCAGCCCTGAGTAACCATCTCAAAATTCCATCCCCTACCACCTCCGCCAGGGAGCTGACAGAGAATAACGCCCTCTTTAGGGAGGTAACAGAGCACGTTCCCTTTCCAACACAGAACGCCAACAAATTGTATGAAAATGAATATTTTTTTTATTTTTCTTTTCTCAATACTATCAAGCGCTGCGATTCCATAACACAGGCAAGTGGCACTGAAATACACTGAATGCAAGGAAGACCACTTGTGGACTTATAACTAACGCCTTGTGGTCTGCCCATTTTAGATGACACTGAGGAATTGTTGTGTGCGTGCTATGGGTCTCCATACATACCACGCAGATCATATGCACATACAAACATTGTATATGTATCGAGTAATACCTGCTTTATAAAATAAAAGACATCTCGGTAGCCCCAGTGACCACCCTCCCTGCCTGGTGAACACAACAAAATAGTATACAAAATATAAAATATCTTAAATATTTATAAACATTGCAAGAAAAAAATAGAACTGTATGAAAATATTTTTTTTTTCCATTTTTTTTCTTTCCCCCCCTGCTCCCGTATTCCCCCACTTCCCCTGCTTTTTTTTTTCCTTTTCTGATATGTTCTCCATTGGTGGGAGATCAATGTGGTTTCAGTCCGTAGCTGTTGATGGGGTACGCGTATGCTCTTCCCAGTGCTACTCTGTCCCGGAGGAGTTTAAACAAGACATAGTAATTGCAGAACAGAATGAGCGCCATGGACAGCGTGTGGTTCCACTTCTCCGCCCGTAGCAGGGAATAGAGCTGGTACAGCACCAGGCTGCCCTCAATAAAAAGAAGCAAATTGAGCAACCGTAATGGCCGATGAAACAAGAACTGCAGGGAGAAAACAAACACCAGTCACAAAATAAAAATAAAAAGCTTTCTTAAGCAGATATTGTGTATGAGAAGCAGGAGGAAAACGAGAGACTCGAAGAGTGAGATAGAGAAGGATAGCATTGGGAGCGGGCATGGGAAATTGAAGAGTACACTAGAATGGCGATCCAAGGGATAGGATGGTTTTGTAAAAACAGAAAGACGGAAGGTGAGGGGAAGATGTAGTGGTAGATAAAGAGGAAAAGTGTGAAAAGATGGTGGAAAGGAACAACAAGAGCAGGTAATCAATAAGGAACCAAAAAACAGCAGAGATGGCCTGCACATCCCGCAGGGGATAGGTCATGTGATAATAATGTATGTACAAATTAATATGGTCAAGAATAAACAGGTGAAGAGAAGTGTCTGAGAAAAGGGAAAAGATTGTGATATGGGTAGAGCAATCAGATTTAGATTTCAAAAATATATCATGTGACATGAAGGACCAGAATACATACATAAAACCTGGCATGAGAGACATCTGAAGGCACTGCTACATTGTACGGCCCCACGGCTTTGTATAAACTGCGACTATGTCGTACCAGGACACCTTGTGGCCAAACTGTGTGTTCTGACCAGCTGAGTGAGGGGGAGAAAAACAAAGAAGAATCAAAGAGAGATCATTACATCCTATAGTTTTAACAATTATAAAAGCTCTCCTAATATTAGATAGAGAGCGCCAATTCTGTAGTCTACAGACATGCACATGCCTACACTGCACTGTTTCCGCTAAGGAGTGCACGCGGCACACACATTTTTGAGGGAGCACACACACAGACAAATGTGTTGCGCACATATATTTTACATAGAAACATAGAATGTGACGGCAGATAAGAACCCATCTAGTCTGCCCAATTTTCTAAATACTTTCATTAGTACCTGGCCTTATCTTATAGTTAGGATAGCCTTATGCCTATCCCACGCATGCTTAAACTCCTTTACTGTGTTAACCTCTACCACTTCAGCTGGAAGGCTATTCCATGCATCCACTACCCTCTCAGTAAAGTAATACTTCCTGATATTTTTAAACCTTTGTCCCTCTAATTTAAGACCATGTCCTCTTGTTGTGGTAGTTTTTCTTCTTTTAAATATAAAAGATTTTCATTCTGGTATTGAAATATATAATTTTTTTTTTTTTTTACATTTTTTGGGGGTTCCCCACTGGACCCCAGTGCGAGGATCCACACCAGCCCACCTAAAGGTAGGGAGGCTGGATGGGTCAAAAAAAAAAAAAAAAAGAAAAAGTGTCAGTCAATGAGTGTGTCTGAGTGTTTGAAATCAGTGATATTGTGCGCCTGTCACTGAGAGTTTGCGTGTGTGTGTGTGTGTGTGTGTGTGTCAGTGAGTGTCTGCTTCAAATCATGATATTGTGTGTGTCATTGAGAATGTTTGAGTGTGTGTCACAGTGAGTGTGTTTCAAATCAGTGAGATTGTGTTTCATTGAGCGTGTGCGTCTGTGTGTGTTTGTTTAAGAAGCATTAATGTATATGTTACCATTTATCGGGCAAATAGCTCCCTTTGAAAACTCTATGGGTGACATTTCTCCATATGATGTTTGCTATTGGTGTCTGCTGGATTGTGTTGTTTGTTTCTCCTGTGTGCTTTGGACAAATCCCATCATACCAAGATTAATTTTTTGTTTTTAAGAAGAATTAATGTACATTTCACAATTTGTTGGGCAAAGTGCTCATTTAGCAAATTCAATGGGTGACGTGACATCTCTCCTCCTCTCCATATAATGTTTGCTATAATTGTGTCAGCCAAATTTGATTTATCTGTAAGAATTATTTATTATTTATATATCACCATTTATTTGACTGCATTCACGGTTTCTGCCTAAATTGAGGGATTAAAATGCTCGCACAAATACAGTTAACAAGATACCAATATTATCTTTTGGATGAATGAAAGGTCAATTTGTTTTAGGGATTACATTGCTATTTAGTGTGGTGAAGGTGCGGCTGAAGCTTCGGGGCTTACAATCAAGAACATTTTTCTTGTGTACCCCTGTCTGCGCTGTTGCCCCTATTGCTTTCTATGGACTGACAGACCAATATGGCCATTAGCATAGAGAGGCTGGTCTGTCTGAATGGCTGACATTACAGTAATACTGTTTTGCAAAATTATCGAGAAATAATTTCATGTTTACATGCGCATAAAATTCTGGATTGGGAAAAAAAAATTTTGCACAAGATATAAAAATATTTCTGGGTACAGAAATTGGATGGAACTTTGCAAAACAGGCAGACGAGAGACCAATAGCTCTGCTGACTGTGCTCCAGCCAATCAGCGAACAGAAAATAAACAGACGAGGAAAACTAATGGCAGCCCTTCGATAACAAAAAACACATACAAACTTCAGACTGTCCACATATTCGATCTTTAATATTTGTGGAACAAACCTACATTGTTATTCACGGAGCCGGCAGTATGTGGTCTGAAGCTGGTCTTGACAGTCACTATAGGATCCAATGCTAACAAGGAGCTTGATCCCTCCAAAGCTGTTGAGTGAGTGTGGCACATATTCCACTCATTCCTTATATTTGAATTGTTTTTACAGATAGTCTACATTACATTTGCATTTATCTACACCATTTTTTGTTATTGTGGGGGTATTTGTGCTATAAATTGGATGGTTGCAGCATGTTTGAGCTAAAATGCCAAGCCTGTGTAAAAATTCTAAATTGTGCACGTTTGACACCGTGTATGTATTGAAAATATGCACTGTGAGAAAACGTAATTAACTTTGCCATTTTTGCACTTTCAAATTTAATTAGCCTAAATTTTTTTCACTATTTATATAAAATCCTGTGCTAAATTAAATTGGAGAATTAGACATAATTCATGATGTTTACAAATTTTTGAACTCCACTAAAGCAACTGATTTATTATGGTTTTGTTAAATAAAACCGTTGAAGTGATGACACATTGTCAAACTGTAACCAGGCCACACATTCACGTCAGAATGTGGTTAGATCCCCATCTCTCATTCAGATATACTAAACTAGCTTTCTGCTACAGATCGCCACAAACATGGATTAACCAGAACGACCATTCCCTGAAGACATCTGTATCTATCCATCTACTTCAACAGTGAGTGCAGGTGCTTTTTGACTAAAGGGGCTTTTCAGTGATCAAATCAATTTAATATCAATGAAGTTGTTTTGTTGGTTGGTGTCCCTGACCAATAAATAATCAGTCCTTAGGATTTCAATTACCCCTCAAACTCAACTGCATCCCATGCTCGCCAAAACATTCTGCAGAAGTCAAAAATCTATGCTCAGATAATGTGTACTTTGAGTTGTGGGATAGAAAGGTTTACGGTTTGGCCAGATTTGAATAGTGATGTGTTCAAACATTTGCCCTAAACTGTAGTTGGACTACAACAGCAATAATTCAACGCCAAGAATTATGTGAATAGTGACCAACCAAAGATGGGGGCAAAGGATGATCATCTTTTAATAGTGTTTGGTCATTGGTGCAGTCAGTGTTGCATCATTTAAGGCTATTGAAATCCTAGAATCTCAGCTTCCGGTGACAAGTTTTAGCAAAAGCATGAAAAATCTACTGTATTTCTTTGTTCTACACAGCATATGAAGAGGTTTAGCTCTGTATTTAAACATTTAAAGAGGCTGTTTATGGAATGAACTCTTGTTGAAAAGCCATTTACTTACATATGCTGTGGAGCATTGCTGTAAGACCCATGTTCTAACTTCTGCCACCGTCCCAGGTGGGAAGCAGACCTGTGTAACAAGTCACAATACTTGGGAGGCAGGAGCTGGGTAGTTAACATGACAAAGGCATTGATCCACACCATGATGAGGTGCTCACACGACCAACGCATGTCGTAATACTGGGTGCTCTACAAGAGAAAGATGGATAAATAAGAATATCAATACACCTTTGTACGGCAAGCAGGAAGCTCACAGAATCCCAATCACAACCTCTGACAGCCCACATTACCACTTTATCGGCTACAGTAATTAATGTATTCCAGGTGTCCTCTGTCTGCATCTTAATGTACATGTGGTTGAGACATCCCTCTATTTCTTCGGTTTCTTTCCACTATTGGAATTGCAGACGCCCCCCTCCCTGTGCTGCGCACGTCCTCCCCTCAAGTCAGTCTTAACTGACATCCCTTCCATGGCAGCAAGAGGGAGTGATGTCAGCAAAGCAGGATTGGGCTAGGAGAGAACTTGGCACTGGAACAGGTAAATGTTTTTTTAAAACTTTGGCCTGGGGGATGAGGATAACGATTACTCTAACCTTTTTCTTAAAACAATGAGTTTAGCTTGAAGTACCCCTTAACCAGATGGATCCACAAAAACAACATACAATGTAATACGTACTTTTACAAAGCAAAGTGGCAGAAATGCCACATAATAGGCACTAAAGAGGGAATTGAAGAGGACTTCCTTGATCCGCCGATTGAAGTCGGCTCTCAGGCACTCCACTTCGTTTCGTATGAGGTCAGGGGACAGCGGGCAACTGTGAGTTGGGATGGATGGGGTTGAATTTAACTGCTCTCTCAGGGATTCCCGCAGGAGAGAGAGGAAGTCTTTGGGTCGGACGAGGCTGGCCACGTCATTAGCACCATCCTCAACTAAAGAGTCCTGCACATAGTACCCACAGTCTGTTGGCAATGATTGAGAGCGGTTGTCTTGGTGAAAGCAGCAAAGAGGTACATAAACACCAAACCTGGGTAAAAGGGTACAAGGGAAGAACAGAACATTAGAGGGATATAACTATTACAAATGTACATTAACAATGCCATATCTGCTAGCAAAAGGAGAAAAAACATGACCAGGGTAAAACAAACCTTGAAAACATGTTTTTTTCATGCTACACTCAATATTCACTTAAAGGAACACTATAGTCATCTAAATTACTTTAGCTAAATAAAGCAGTTTTAGTGTATAGATCATTCCCCTGCAATTTCACTGCTCAATTCACTGTCATTTAGGAGTTAAATAACTTTGTTTCTGTTTATGCAGCCCTAGCCACACCTCCCCTGGCTATGAGTGACAGAGCCTGCATGAAAAGAAAACTGGCTTCACTTTCAAACAGATGTAATTTACCTTAAACAATTGTATCTCAATCTCTAAATTGAACCCTAATCACATACAGGAGGCTCTTGCAGGGTCTAGCAAGCTATTAACATAGCAGGGGATAAGAAAATCTTAATTAAACAGAACTTGCAATAAAGAAAGCCTAAATAGGGCTCTATTTACAGGAAGTGTTTATGGAAGGCTGTGCAAGTCACATGCAGGGAGGTGTGACTAGGGTTCATAAACAAAGAGATTTAACTCCTAAATGGCAGAGGATTGAGCAGTGAGGCTGCAGGGGCATGTTCTATACACCAAAACTGCTTCATTAAGCTAAAGTTGTTCAGGTGACTTTAGTGTCCCTTTAAAGGGACACTAACAGCTTCATCTCATTATATTGGTTGAGTCTGGAATCCCTGGGGCCATCCTACTATTCAGCGCTAAATCGTTTTTAATTTAATAATGTTACATGTCCTCAGCAGCCCATCCTTTCTGTGCTACCTGGACTAAAGATGGAGCATTAGCATGGGCAGCAGAGTGTCAGCTGAATGCTGACTGCTTTCAGCCTGTCACAGCGCCCACTGCTGGTTTCAATTTTGTACAGCTAGAAGGAAGTGTGTAAACTCTGCCTTAGCCATACCTCCATTGAGGACCAGGCTGTAGGCAGCCAGAGACCCACATCGAGTGTTAAACTGCTTGAAAATCGTTCCACTCTAAACAGAGCAAAGGTGCCAATTCAATGAGATGAAATGGCTATAGTGCCTACAGAGTCATTCTAAATCAAAGTTTAGAGAGAAAATCCTGGACACACATTATTTCATCACATTGATGGTCAGATTATGAAAAAACTGCCCTACAGCAAGTTGATTTAATAGGGCTCCAGATTGATTTGTCAAGTTATTTACTACCTGAAACATTTGAAATTTATAGAAGTGATGTTTTCCCCGGTAAACATGGTGGATATGTCATCCCTATCCCTCTTCCTCTTGTCAATCATTAAAAGAGACCTCTGTGAAAATGGCATATAGGTCTATGGTGAGCAGTGGATTACAAGGGAGAGCAGGAGAACCCGTCCCATTGGCATCACAATCCACATCAGTTTAGGCAAGGCCAGAGTAAACATGGCAATAAAGGAGGAAAAAATAAAAACAGTTTCATTCCTCCTCTTCTCTGTATGTTTTGCGCAGGACAGAGCTTATAACAATGATTTACAGGGAGCTAAGATGGAGGAGCCCAGTTTCAGAACAAAAGGTTGTGGATTTCTACACTTAATTACTTTTTTTTTTTTTTAAACACATAATATTTGTTAAATAAAGAGACAGGTAAAAATAGTATCACAAATTCTGCAAAGTAAGAGTTCCCATTTAAATTAGATCTGTGTCATACAGAGCCATAAATAGTATCTTATTCAGCAATACCACCTGTGTGTACAATGAAATCAACAGGCTCACCGTCCCTGACAAACAAAGGGCAAAGAAACAAACTGAACTGAACACAGTCAGGCTTTCTACATGAATTCAAGAGACGCACTCACGGGTAGCCCAGGAATAGGAGGTTCAATACAGAGTGGTTACGGAACAGGTTGACCAGAGTCCAGCAGAACACCCAGCCGCACAGCGTGAGCAGGACCAGGCGTGCTGTGATGAGCGCCGTGTAGTATACCATGGACGCAGCTCCTACCTGAGAAGCCTGAGAAATAAAGGGGTTCTAAATACTAGAGAACAGGGACAACAGGACATAGAAACATCTCAATAAACAACATATAAATCAAGACAAAAGTAATGTAAATAGTCACAGGGGGATGCATAAGGCAATGACGGATATTCTTATTGGGATTTATGTGCATTTTTTGTTTATAAAACACCAACACAGAGTGCTTTACAATAGTTTATTGTAGTGCTTATTTTGTCTATGAGTTGTATCTTGTTTTTCAAAAAATACAACTCTCCCTGGAACCCAAAGAGTGCCACCTCAGCATCACTGATAATCTGTTTAGTTCAACACGGGCAGCCCAGCGCTGTTACTCATCACCAGTAATTGGCATATATACATTTCTCTGTTTTACATGTCACAATTTAGAAACATAGAAACATAGAATGTGACGGCAGATAAGAACCATTCGGCCCATCTAGTCTGCCCAGTTTTCTAAATACTTTCATTAGTCCCTGGCCTTATCTTATAGTTAGGACAGCTTTATGCCTATCCCACGCATGCTTAAACTCCTTTACTGTGTTAACCTCTACCACTTCAGCTGGAAGGCTATTCCATGCATCCACTACCCTCTCAGTAAAGTAATACTTCCTGATATTATTTTTAAACCTTTGCCCTCTAATTTAAGACTATGTCCTCTTGTTGTGGTAGTTTTTCTTCTTTTAAATATAGTCTCCTCCTTTACTGTGTTGATTCCCTTTATGTATTTAAATGTTTCTATCATATCCCCCCTGTCTCGTCTTTCCTCCAAGCTATACATGTTAAGATCCTTTAACCTTTCCTGGTAAGTTTTATCCCGCAATCCATAAACCAGTTTAGTAGCCCTTCCTGAACCCTCTCTAAGGTATCAATATCGTTCTGAAGATACGGTCTCCAGTACTGTGTACAATACTCCAAGTGAGGTCTCACCAGTGTTCTGTACAATGGCATGAGCACTTCCCTCTTTCTACTGCTAATACCTCTCCCTATACAACCAAGCATTCTGCTAGCATTTCCTGCTGCTCTATTACATTGTCTGCCTACCTTTAAGTCATCAGAAATAATCACCCCTAAATCCCTTTCCTCATATGTTGAGGTTAGGACTCTATCAAATATTCTGTACTCTGCCCTTGGGTTTTTACGTCCAAGATGCATTATCTTGCACTTATCCACATTAAATGTCAGTTGCCACAATTCTGACCATTTTTCTAGTTTACCTAAATCATTTGTCATTTGGCTTATCCCTCCTGGAACATCAACCCTGTTACATATCTTAGTATCATCAGCAAAAAGACCCAATTTCTACCCAAGTGCAACGATTACAAAAAAATAATAAACCTCAAAAATAGGTTCACACAAATAATTTTTAGAAGTTATAAAACAAATATTGCAAGGAGTGAATTACAGTTTTAAAGCTAAAACGTTGCAAAATTTGGGATGGTGAGATTACAACTTTATACGGCAAAAATCCAAACACACTACAAAACTATATATCTGTAGAAAGTATACCAACCAGGCTATTTGACCAACACTACAGTTTTTAAATTTCATAATTTTATTATGAACCTTGGTTAAAATATTGACATTGACCACTACTGCAAACTCCCCATATTTGTATTCCGATACTCTTCTGGAGTACAAGGATAACCCACATGTATATCTTTGCCCTTAATCCCACCAAGAGAGATTTCCCAGCTCACAGTACAGAGGGCTCTATGAAAACTCTGCATCGAGTGATTGCAGCAGTGTGAGATCTCTCTCTCATTCTGCAGCTTCTGCACACCGTGTTCAGTGCTGGGCAGCTGGCAAAGACCAATGGCAATCACTGGGCAGAGGGGCATGCAGACCCTGGGGATCTCCCTCATCTCTGGTGCAAGCTATGTGCCAAGCTGAGTGTGCCATGCAGCTCCTGGCAGTAAGTTGACAGATGGGACCCTCGGTTACTGAAAGATACTTGGTGCTTCCCGTTTTAAACTGGGAGCAGACTCAGAAACCAGTCCCAGTATTTAAAAAATTTAAAGGGCTATGTGCAGCACTCACTTTGAGCAATTATACCTCATCTGTCAGTATGGGGTCATTAATTGTGGCCCCCAACTGACAGAAGGGATCCGCATTAATCCTGCTGGTACTTTTAATGAATGACGGTCTATGCGGTCAACTGGCGTAACAGCCCTACAATACAGGACGACATACACTATCATGCTGTCCTTAAGTGGTTATGGTTGTGCATATTTTTATTATATTGTTATTACAGTTAGTCTTATCATGCAGTTTTTATTCACTAGCTTTTAGTTCAAACAGATACAAAAACAATTTCACACGTCTATACGGATATTTTAAGCATACAAACTCGTATGGTAGGGGGGTTGTTTTTCTAAAGATATGTGGTATATATTCAGGATAAATATGTTGCCATGTTAAACAGGTTATTGTAGAACATTCTCAATAAATAAGTACAATATACTTAGTAGAAATACAGAGGAACAAAAAAAAATATATATCAAACATACTTGTGCAGGACTCCATTATTCCAGATGACAGCTAAGAGCATAACTATGGATTGTTAGGTAACATTTCTCTTTCAATAGAAAGTAAAAGAAATGTAAGCCAGTAGACAGAGGTTCAAGCACTGTGAGAACTGACAGGTACATTTGCAGGGACCTTTCCAAGAAGACTGATTAGTGTACTACAGTTTCTCAACCCCCGTAAGCAAAGTACTGAGTGAGAAGTGAAATAAAGACCATCTACAGATTAGAAGAGGTAGAAAGCAGGGTACAGTTACCTCTGAAATAAGGGCCCAGACCAGGCGCCGAGCCAACATCACGGTGATAAAGGCTGCTAGGTGGTAATCGATGAGATGGAAATTCTGTAAAAACAAGAACAAAGTGTACGTGATTATCGGTGAAAAGAACTGGTAGAAAATGATTGTATCGGTAAGAAAATGTTGCACCAAAAAATACAGTGAAACACAAATGTAGAGATACGTTAATACAATCAAATAGAGTGAACGTGGACAAGCCAGGCAGCAGTTACTCCCCCTTGGTCAGTAAGGACTAGCCTAAAATAACAGAATTAGATATAATGGGTTACTGGGTTAAAGGGTTACTTTTTTCCCCTTTGGAACAAGTAGGCACATTTTAGATGGTGTTGAGCCAACGAACATACAGGATACTGATCTCCATACCTTCCTTGATAAAGAATCTCATGTAATCATCCTAAGCAATATAAAATATAGACCGGCAGGAATGAAAGTACCTGCAGGAAACATTCCATAGTAGAAGGGGTCTGAGAGCCAGCTATGGTGACATTTCACACAAGAGAACAACATACAACTCTGATTTAATGAAATCATTGTGGACACCATTAACACAAGCTATTTCATGAGAAGACAGCAGTACGTAATGTTGTAGGAGAGACTGTTTTTTTGTCTTAACATAGTGTAAAGAACAGTTTTTTTTTTATAACTTATTTAGGGTTTAAGTGGCACTAAGCGCCATAATTACTAAATCTCATTAAAGTTGTTATGGTTCAAATAGCCCCTGGGCTCTAGCCTCGCAGTGTTAAAGTTAAAGCAGACTTGTGGTCAGAACTTCTGCTACAGTTTGTCCAATTTTGAGCTTCAATTAAAAAAAATCAAAAAAAAAAAATCAGAGCAATTGGCATCCTCAGAAATGTTCCCCCTGGACTACAGCTCTACTTAAAATTGGCAAAATAACACTCCAAATACAAAATAGAGGTAAAAAAAACAAATCAACTTAACCTTTATAAACAGCTTCCCACGATCACTTCCCTAGTGATCTTGTATAGACAAAAGAGATAAGACAAAAAGCAGCGGGATACAACTGAATAGCTCAAATGTATAAAATAAACCAAACATAGTGCAACACTGTGTGATAATGTGTAAATTAGTAGTTGCTCTGATTGCACTCAGACTACAGTGAAATTTCAGGATAAGGACCGATTGGATACTTTGTGAAGTGCCTGAAATTTCACTGAAGTCTGTGAGTACAATGAGAGCAACTACTAATTTACACATTATCACACATTGTTGCACTATGTTTGGTTTATTTAATACATTTTAGATATTCAGCTCTATCTAAATGATTTACAACCTTTATTCAGCAGGGTAGCTATACCGCATATATGCAGGGGTAAACACACACACACACACACACACACACACACACACACACACATATATATATATATATAAAAAAACACAACACATATACATATATATAGTTTTTAGATGATATTTAAAAAAATAACATTTAATAAATCATTTGTTATAAGACTTGTAAAAAAACAAAACAAAAAAAAAAATACTATAACACAAGGTAAAAGACAAGCTGCTGCAGCCAATAACATCTTTAGGAAGAAGTCTCACCAGTGAGGTACACGAGGCCGGGTGATTATAGGGGTACCACCACACTGTTTTATAGATGTTGATATACTGGATAAAGAGTGCCACCAATAGGTAAATAAAGAAGAGGAACTCAAAGAGTAGGCTTCCGTCCAGCGGCAGATCAGGGATGCGGCAATGACGCACCGGTTCAGGGGTGATCAAGGCAGTAATGGGAGGGGCCGTAAGGCCAACAGCGCTACCATTCCTATGAGAGAGAGAGAGATATGGAAATGGTTACTAGGTACACTGTCTAAGTGACAGATATTTCTAACAAGGCTAACCAGATGATAAATAAACAACGAGGGAGATATTGGACAGCCTAACATCAAAACAGGGACATGTGCCCACTATAGTTATCCATTAGCTGCTGTTCCTCGAGGACCACTTTCCTAAATCAAAATAAATCATATACTTATGATAAACTTAAATGGCTTAAATGAACACTATATGGTCAGCAATACAAACATGTATATCAGACCCTATAATGTTAAAAATACTATATAGGTCCCTTGCCCCCTTAAATATAGTGTTAAAATTCACCTTTATTCCAGTTTTGTGCCGTTCCGTAGGTGCTGGCCCCACCCCTGATCAGAATTGATAAGCAACGCTGTGCGGCACTGATCCAGGAAGAACCTCTAGTGTCCATCTGAGTGACTACCTGTGAAGGTGTTCCTAGGCAGGAATACAAACACTTCCTTTTCTCTGAAAAGGCAGTGTTTACATGGAAAAAAAAGCCTGCAGGGACAGGCTTTAGACACCAGAACCACCACAGTAAACTGTAGTTGTTGTGGTGACAATAGTGTTCATTTAATGCGCCTCTCGTGTATTTAGTATTGTAGGTGACCTCTGGAAAATACCCCAAGATTAAAAATGGCAAAAATATCCTCTCACGGTGTGTGAGTAAGTTGTTAAAAGAGGAACAGTCCCATTTTTGGATTTTTACACTATTAAATACAATCACAAATAACTTGTGTTAACCTTTGTTTTTCTTCCCATGAAACCATCTGTTTGCAAAGCATGAATATAAATATGAAAGGAAACGTCAACATAATCCAATTCAGACAATGTAAAGCCATAGCAAACATTGCAAATCAGGAGGAGAAACACTGATTCAGGTCACCTTTTCTGTGTATGCTTTCTTAATGCTGACTGCCAGGTGCAAAGGACACGTACATAACAATGATTGACAGGGAGCCAAGACAGAGGCGCCCAGTTGCAGAATAAAGAGATTAGGATTCCAAAGTTTACTTTTATTTCCTCACAAACACATAATATAGGGATACACAAACATCATATTAAAAATGAGTGTAGAGGCAATGTCACCTATGACCGGAACGGTCCAGGGAAATTTGAGATACTCCCTATTTCTTGAAACCTACAGTTTGATTTGCAAAGGACGGCATCCTTTGTCACTACAGATGTTCTGGACTATATCTCCCCTGATGCATTAAAGCTGTAAGAGCATTAAGGGAGATTTAGTCCACAATATCTGGGGTGCAAATACCTGTGAATTAAAGGGTAACCCCCAAGCACCATGACCACTTCATTGTTTTACAGTAGTACCTGGAGTCTGAATGATCAGCAATTTCGATTAAACGTTTGCTGCTGGAGGTGAAATTCCATCTCAAATGCCACTGGAGCCAGACCGGAACAAGAGTTTGGTGATGATTTCTATGCACAGGATGTCATTAGCCGAGGCACTCAGCTCGCTGTCTCAGCCAATGCATAATGACAGAATCAACATCTGAATTCCATAGCTCTGCAGAAGCCGACAGAGGAGACCAAACCCAGGTAAGAGGCAATGGCTATGGAGTACTCCTTACATCATAACCACTCCAGCAGGTTGTAGTGGTTATGATACCGGGAGTAACCTTTTAAGATTCACTAGTTTAAATTTGGGGAAATGTTTTTGGAAGAATGTGTTTTTCTAGCTCATTAGATATAAGAGATATGTCTGTCACCAAGTTATTTTTTTTTTAGAGGTGGTGATTAGACCCCATTAGCCTGTGACTAGAAGCACATTTGCAAAAGTATGGTGTATTTTATATTTGCAGAAGGTGCATGTATTGCCCTTCCAAACACCTGTCCCTCCCAAGGAAAGCAGACCTACCAATTCGTGACAAAATAAAAGTGCATGTAATATCCAACATGACCTTGAAACTTTATAAAACATTTGGCGAGCCAACTTGTAGTTGCACTGGGCAGGGCCGGATTAAGAGCCCAGTGGGCCTGGTGCTGACAATTATGATGGGGCCTAATTACAGAATCCTATCAACGAAAAACACTAAAACAGTCATACCTCCCAAGCATCATGTATCTGATGGAGTTGGTGTTGGAGGGAAACTCCAAGGATGCAGCTATAAGAAAACACATACTCTATGCTAATCTCTTTATCTAATTTATGCTTTCATCTTTCAAGTAAATCCATACCAACAGCAGTGTCCAGTGAAGCAGGAAGCCAATGGGCGGGGTAAAAGAGTAGGCCACTGATGCAAATCACATGACCAAAACTTACAGAAGGGTCGAACATGCCCAAAAAGGGGGCATGTCTGTCCAAAGAATTGGAAGGCCAGCCTGGCATCAATGTCCCTATGCATCACAGTGTCTGTGTCCCCATGTCACCCAGCTTCTGTGTCCCCATTTCTCCAAGTGTCCCCATGTCTCAGTGTGTCCTGTGTCACTAGGATACATGGGGACTCAGACACTTGGAGACATGGGGGCACTTGTGGACACAGACACTTGGAGACATGGGGGCACTTGTGGACACAGACACTTGGAGACATGGGGGCACTTGTGGACACAGACACTTGGAGACATGGGGGCACTTGTGGACACAGACACTTGGAGACATGGGGGCACTTGTGGACACAGACACTTGGGGACACAGGGAGAAACGGGGTCACAGACACTAGGAACTGGGAGACATGGGGACACAGACACTGGGAGACATGGGGACACAGACACTGGGAGACATGGGGACACAGACACTGGGAGACATGGGGACACAGACACTGGGAGACATGGGGACACAGACACTGGGAGACATGGGGACACGTGTCCCAATGTGTCTACCTATGTCTCACAGCGTCCCCATGTGTCTGTGTCCCCACATCTCACAGTGTCCCCACATCTCCCTGATGCCTTTCCCCTCACTTCCCTGAGCTGTAGTCTGTCTCTGCAGGCTGGGAGCTGCTGTCTGAACTCTCTGTACTGTGTAGCTGCTCCCCTGTGTATCAGTGAGTAGAGAGAGGCAGGGAGGGATATGCGTTAACTTCCTATCCCTGCCTCTCTCCATACACGGTGCTGGTATTGCAGAGTAATCTCCGTTTATACTGAGAAAAATATTTGCATTTGTATTGCCGGTAATACTGCAATACCAGCACGGCCAGGCAGCCTCAAATACAGGCTGTGCCTTAAAATACCAGTGGCTTTTATTCCACCAGGACAGTGGGAAATTATTTTCTTTTCCAGTTTTTAATTCAATGGCTTTCTGGTACAGCTTTGTAATATATTTTGTTGTATGGTTATAATACATGTTCCTTTATTACATTCTGCCTTTTTCTTGTATAATAATTAACCCCAGAGACCTACATAATAACATTGAGTTTTTGCTCTAGCTTGGCTGGGATTACCTCGGACTGCACATTTTTTTAAAATTGCATTAGATACATTGCTTGCATTGAAAATATATATATATATATATCAACAAATTCCGCGCTTTATAGATATAAATGTTTAATCCTTACATTGACAGAACCAAATCCAGGGCATGATTGATTTTCTGCATGAAGATACTGTGTTCTCTTAAAATGTAAAGAGATACTAAAGTCAATAGAACAGCTGCAGCTTATTGTAATTATTCTGGTGCGTATACTCAGCCCCTGCAGGCTTTTTGCAGTAAACTGTTTTTTTTACAGAGCAAAGGCAGTGTTTACATAACAGACTAGGGACATCTCTAGTGGCCACTCCTCAGATAACTACTAGAGGTGCTTCCTGGGGCAGTGCTGCACATTCTCTGCACGAAGACACTGAACTTTCCTCATAGAGATTAATTGATTCAATGTATCTCTATAAGGAGATGCTGACTGGCCCCAGGGTAGCATTTGGCTCCGTGCCTGCTCCACCTCCCTGGCAATCACAGCCAATCCAATGCTTTCCTATGTGAAAGCATTGTGATTGGCTCAGATCACCATTTCTAATGATGTCAGCCAGGAAGGTAGATCAGGGGCAAAGTCAGCACCAGCAGCTGGATAAAGGTAAGATTTTACTATATTTAGGGTAGTAAGGGGGGCCAAATGGCTAGATAGTGATTTTAACACTATAGGATCAGGAATACAGGTTTGTGTTCCTGACCCTGTAGTGCTCCTTTAAGAGAAAGTCTAAACATATGGAGCTTACAAATCCCTCCAGTCCCCACATTCCAAGTTATGTGTACATTACTATTTTTGGAAGAATTTAAAAAAAAAAATCTCTTACCGATTTCTCAGCCCTGTGCCATTGCCACAAGCACCACCAACTAAAGTCTGCAGAGAGGGCAAAGCGGAACGGCTCAGTTGTTGCCGGCTTGGACCCCTTCTTCCACCGGGCATGACAAGGTGCCAGTCCACGTCCAGCGCCACCAGTAGGCTCCACTTCGAGGCCCTGAATACAGCTCGGAAACCTTCTCCACTCTGCAAAGAAAGTTAACAGGTCTTTACAAGAACACATGGGACAACGCATTCCACAGCAATCAACCTTTAACAAATAACGCTCACCTGTAAAAAAAAATGTTATATAAGCAACCGGTGACCATTTAGAAAGCAATGAGCCTGGAAAGATTGTATAAAACCCTGCAAAATAAGTAAATATAAAGTACTGCTATTAGAAAATATCTTAATGTAGTGATTTGGGTGTGTAGATGCAGACCATTTCCTCAGATAATGTCAAACATCATTATAGCTCAGAAACAACAAAGTTCGCATTTGCCCAAAAACAGGCTTCTAATGTTTTCATGATCACAGCCACTGTAGTACGCACACACTGTACTATCGGTTAGGAGAAACTGCGTGTATCTGCAACAATTTTTGCATCAGCTAAAGCGTTGAACCAGTGAAAGGTTTTAAAATATGGTAAAATCTATACTGGTAATACTGAATTGAGATGTTTTGACACCATAAGACGAGGGATGGCTCCAACGACCTAATGGCACCATAACCACTACACTGTTTCTCGACTTCAAGGTTTACCAATGCAAAGCCAAACTCAATCCCATTTAAAAAAATATTTTAAAAAAATTCTCTTTCCGTCAGTCATTTTTCTCGAAGAATGATGGGAAAATAAATAAAACTTCATAATGGGTGTAATTAAAGTAGGGTATTTGAAGAAAAGGCACTGACTTTCTAGGAAATAAAATAATAGAGATAGCCTTGCACCCTTAAAAAAATGTGCACAAATTATACTCAATTTTAGCATTGCTACCATATTAGTACGCAGATAGTAAAAGAAAAGAACAAAAAGTTAGGGAAGAGATAACAGCTGTAAGATCACAAGCAATTTCCTCTTTAATATCCTGTCGCTAAAAAAAAAACAAAAAAAAAACAAAAAAAAAAAAACTTGCGTTGACCTCAGAAGTGGACTATAAATAGCGAAATTGTAAAGGACTCCTTGGTATAATTACAGTTACTTTGTTTCACCCAGTGGATTCAAAAGCCTTTTTTTCCTGACATGGATCAAAATGATTAGCTTGACAACAGAAAAATCTGACTCATTCTTCAATTGTGCTAGGAAATATTTGAAAATAAATTTGGCAAATCCCCTGCATTAGATAAGTTCTCATGGGGTTAAACGTGAGGGGCCAGGAACTTTCTTGTTTTCAATTTGTAAAAGCATGTGTTTGGGGAAAGCCAACGATCATTGATGAGACCTAAACAGAACTTCTAACATATCCCTCCTTTCCACCAATCATCTGGCCCATGAAGAGTTTGCTGGCTTCATGGGATATGAGCGGCAAGTCAGTAGGTAGGCAGGGCCCGTCATGAATACGGCCTCAGCTCTAATACACAGTAATGAAAGCCTGGCACACAGCCAGTTGTATCAGGGAAACCGGGAGAAGTTGCAAAACATCTTTCTCTGTCCTAACATGCATCTGCAAACCCACACTGCAGTATACACGGAGGGGCAGAGCTAAATTAACCACAGAACCAACAGGCACCACCCATTACCCTACAACAAATACTCTGTGGCAATGAAGTTAAATAGGAGGAAATTCCCCCCCCACCCCCCCAACAAACCTTCCACTCTAACCATGTAAATCTTTACAAAAAAAGCCAGAACAACAATTTGTTTTAAATTAGATTTAATTCTCCCTCAGTCTATTTTAAATTGAAGCCAGTTCAATAATTGTAATTACACGGTATTTAAAGGAACACTATAGGGTCAGGAACACAAACCTGTATTCCTGACCCTATAGTGCTGAACCCATCATTTCGGCGACTTGGTACTCCTCCCCCCTCCCCCCCCATTTCCAGTGCCTTGCGGATCAGCTGGTGCTGGCCCCTTTGCAACATCATCAAAATGGCAGATTTTTGATTGGCTAAAAGCGGCACGGGGCGGGGCCAAATGCTGTTTTGGCCAATCAGGACCTTCGCATAGATACATTAAATCAATGCATCTCTATGAGGAAAATGCAGAGCGTGGGGACGCTGAACGTCAGTGTTGCTTTTTCGGCAGCACTGACCCAGGAAGCACCTCCAGTGGCCATCTAAGGAGTGGCCACTTGGAGGTGTCCCTAGAGGCAATGTAAACACTGCCTTTTTAATGAAAAGGCAGTGTTTACATGAAAAAAGCCTGAAGGGAACCAGAACAACTACATTACGTTGTAGTAGTTCTGGTGACTATGGTGTCCCTTTAACGTAACCTGAATTGCAGAACTAAAAGGACTGTGGTGACCTGGCGTAGCAGGAAGGGTTGCAGCAATTAGTCTTTCTGCTTACCACTGTAAGAGCAGACAGCTTAATGAAACAGAAAATTAACATGGAGGATGTTAATAGCTGTAGTATGTGTTTAGTACTGCACTGTTGCTTTAAAGTGAGATCCTTTCCAAAATATAGCAATCCGGCATGAAATTCCTCATTACTCTGAGCGAAGAGATCATTTTATAAGCCACTTCCCAGCGAAAGTTTGTATTACTTTCCAGTGCACAGAGATCGACTGTACAGAAAGCCTGGATTAATTCCAGAGACAGGTTCTATTCCCCCCTCACACAACGCAGGGGCCAGTAACTTGAGAAATGGCTACAACAGAATGCACAGGGGCCAGTAATCCGAGGCACGGCTGGAACACACAACGCAGGGGCCAGTGATCCAAAGCACGGCTGCAACACACAACGCAGGGGCCAGTAATCCAAGGCACGGCTACAACAGAAAGCATAGGGGCCAGTAACTCGAGGCACAATACAGCACACAATATAGGGGCAAGTAACCCGAGACACATCACCACCAAACGCTGCAAGAGCCAGTGACTCGAGGCACTGCTAAAAACAAAAAAAGTCTCAGAATAAAATGATTTCTGTCATTTCTGAGGACAGTATACAATAATTTATCTTATCAGGATGAAATCTTAACACGCGTACACATCAGATTTAGTCGACTAAAATTTTGGAGATTTAGTAGACTAAAACAATTCAGATGACTAAAATGGCTAATTAGTCAAAAGACTATGACTAAAACTAAACTGAAATTTGACGCCAGAGTTAACACTGGTACACACAGGATAATACCTCAGTTGGTGATTCACAACTTCATAAAAAAAGATAAATAAGTATCAGCTGAATTCTCTGAAGTATAAGAGGTTGCCAAATGATTCATTTACAGGTGAAGGGCCACCCAGCCCAATATAATAAATTGCTACTTGTAAATACACTGTAAACAGCTAGTATTGGAGGGAAAGTGAACACAGATGAAGTCAATCAAGACATGTCACAGCCTTCGTTAATGCTGATTGAGAACACATCATTTAGGTGTTAAACCAATGATTCATTGCTTTCTGAGAAGGATATGCTTTTTTTTTTTAAAAAATTATTTTTGATGGAAACGCTCATCAAAGCCATGGCAGAAACAGGAAGCAAGATAATCGTATTGTAAGTGTGCATGCAAGAGACAAGCAAACAATACAATATAGCAGTAAACCGTTCGTACGGATTCAGTAGCAAGGATTCCCTGCATCTATCCCTTGGACTTGCATGTCTATAACAAAGATCAGCTCCTCTGTGACTTTATTATAAACTCACCCGTTCACCCTCACTCCCACTACCCCAAGCACATGCCTAGAACACTAATCACTATTGCCAGGCCTGGCGCGCTAAAAGATTCTGTGAGAATCAAGCCCAATCCGGACCCCACATATTCGGATTCTACTGGAAGAGCACTCCGAGGGCCCCCAGTAGACTCATCCTGTAATCCAAGGCTCTGTATTGGGTGACAGGAGGAGAGTTTGTTTATCGATACTGAAACCTGCAGAACAATGTAACTGATCTGCTATGTTTAGAGGACGGTAAGACTAGTCTAGATTCCCCTGCCATGAGGTCCCAACTAAGCAGACCAATAACTGTGACGGAGATGAATTGCAAATTAAACCGCAAAATGTAATCCAGAATAGAGGTGTAAAAACTACCCAATTCAGTTCCTTTTAAAAATAAATAAAATAAAAACCCCAGCTATTTTATCATTATTTCTGCAATTTGGTTTTCAGTTCCTCACAAGCCATTATTTAATAAATAAACCTTATTGTTGTGCCGGGTTTCATTCTACACAACTTAACATTTGTAATTGGCAATGCGAAGTTGAATTTAAATAAGGCCTCAAAATGTCTTACATGAATGAAAGCAGTGGTTTATGATAAAATGGTTAAATGAAAAGTGTCAACACTTTTGGTGAAATACCCTGGAGCATCGAATTTCCATTGTTTTGTTTAGCAGTTTTGGATTCTGTGACAGACATTATAAATTATAGCGTCAGCAGGAAAAAAAATCTGCACATGTTTAGCGAAATAAAAAAATTCTATATGTAGTTATCTTCTATTATTCCACTACTTCACTATGAAATTAGTGAAAGCATTTCTTCATTGCTTTCCCACTAATATTTTAATACTTAAAGGGACACTCCAGGCACCCAGACCGCGTCTCCCCATTGGAGTGGTCTGGGTGCCAACTCCCACCACTCTTAACCCTGCAAGTGTAATTATTGCAGTTTTTATAGATTGCAATAATTACTTTAGAGGGTTAAGTCATCCTCTAGTGGCTATCAGACAGCCAATAGAGGGACTTCTGGCTTCTTAGAACACAAAAAATGTTTTAAACTACGCTAGAAGTTCTCACGCTATGCATGAGGACCTCCAGTGTCGCTGGAATCCCCACAGGAAAGCATTGAATAATGTTTTCCTATGGGGAGGTCTAATCTGCATTAGGTCACCCCTGCTGGCTGACGGCGGGGGGAGGGACATTCAGGTAAGTCACTGAAGAGGTTTTAACGCCTTCAGCAATGTGGGATGGGGGGTGGGAGGGAGAGGGGCACTGCAGATATGTTTTCATAGCACTGGAGAGTCCCTTTAATGTGTTGTATATACAGGGAATTCACTAGTAAGAACTCAAGGTGTATTTAAATGGTATTTCCCATTTAAGATAATACAAAAAAAGGGTGCGCTGTGTCTTTAAGACAAGAAAAGTGCAATGTACCTTTAAAAACACTCCAGTGCTTCAAAAAAACACACAAAACTCTATTCAATAAATGTGTTACTATTACACACTCTACAATAGTGCAAAAAAAGTGCAAGTGTGCAAATAACACTTTTATACCAATGTATTGGTGAGAGTTGGTAATTTTTAAATACCACTTTTCTATCAGTGTATTGGTGAAAAATTAGTAGAAAAAACGGAGCACTTACAATACCCCGCTATATGTACCTTAGGTCTGGTTACTCCAGTTTTGCATACATATGTATAAAAAATAAATAAAAGAACATAGTGTAATACAGTATATAAATTATGTTATTAGAACAATGAATAGTGTTAAACTCACAAGTGGAGAGCAGAGAAGTCTGCTCTAACTTTATCCGCTTCTTGTGTAAAGCCAAAAGGTCATAGGACAGCAGCAAGTTGAAAGAAACACTTTTTTATTTCCAAAACAAATCTTCACAATATTAAAAAATAGTCCCCCAAGTGGTATCGCTTTGCTCACTCAGTCTCTCTATGGAAGGCGTACTGCATACAGTTTCGCTGCCGGCTAGCACCGTACTGCAAACACTTCCTGGAGGCGGAGCCTAATGACGTAACCACGGGACGTACGTGATGACGCGTTTCGCCACAAAATCGGCACAAAATAATTGCCCCTTGGGTACTTTGAGTTTAAAGTGAAGTTGCATATGGGAGACAACATGGCATTCAGGTAAATGATACAAATTAAGATACACATTATGCTACCAAAATGACAAGCAACTGAGGTGTGATCTGAGGAAGCCGATTTTGTGGCGAAACGCGTCATCACGTACGTCCCGTGGTTACGTCATTAGGCTCCGCCTCCAGGAAGTGTTTGCAGTACGGTGCTAGCCGGCAGCGAAACTGTATGCAGTACGCCTTCCATAGAGAGACTGAGTGAGCAAAGCGATACCACTTGGGGGACTATTTTTTAATATTGTGAAGATTTGTTTTGGAAATAAAAAAGTGTTTCTTTCAACTTGCTGCTGTCCTATGACCTTTTGGCTTTACACAAGAAGCGGATAAAGTTAGAGCAGACTTCTCTGCTCTCCACTTGTGAGTTTAACACTATTCATTGTTCTAATAACATAATTTATAATACTGTATTACACTATGTTCTTTTATTTATTTTTTATACATATGTATGCAAAACTGGAGTAACCAGACCTAAGGTACATATAGCGGGGTATTGTAAGTGCTCCGTTTTTTCTACTAATTTTTCACCAATACACTGATAGAAAAGTGGTATTTAAAAATTACCAACTCTCACCAATACATTGGTATAAAAGTGTTATTTGCACACTTGCACCTTTTTTTGCACTATTGTAGAGTGTGTAATAGTAACACATTTATTGAATAGAGTTTTGTGTGTTTTTTTGAAGCACTGGAGTGTTTTTAAAGGTACATTGCACTTTTCTTGTCTTAAAGACACAGCGCACCCTTTTTTTGTATTATTGTATTTTTAGTGTTTTATGGGCTATTGCACTTTATAAGGGAGCTGCTTCATAGGTTTTAAGGTTGTTATTATTTTAGACGTGTATTGAGCGCCTTTTTTTACTTGTCTTCTCTCTTGTTGTACACATTTCCCATTTAAGGCCAGTGTAGTTCGAAGGAACGTATAGCTGGCTCATTTTTACAGTTTTGCTATTTTTACCATAAAATTTAAAATTCACCCAACTGGTTCCAAATTCACCCTCATAATGGTTCCAGAATAAAGTCCAATTTATCCTCTAGTTAGTATATATAGGTGTACTTGAAATTACATTGGAATAACCACATAGAGTACCGAAAATGCGTTGGTTCCAAATTTGGGGAAACTCAGAATAATCTTGGTTACGAATGCGGCACGGAGATATAGATATATTATATATATAAAACTGCTACAAAAAAAACCCAAAACAGACAAAACAAGAAGGGTTCTTGCAACATAAAAAGACACAACGCTGTATTGAGGATGTACATTTTACAGCACTTATTGTGCAATATGGAAGTAAATTAGCAGAAGTGTCCACAAGCCTTGTATCATATATCCATTTGCTGGACTCAATAAAATGTTCTACTTGGTGGAGTGCATTAAAGGACCACTCTAGGCACCCAGACCACTTCAGCTTAATGAAGTGGTCTGGGTGCCAGGTCCAGCTAGGGTTAACCCTTTTTTTCCATAAACATAGCAGTTTCAGAGAAACTGCTATGTTTATGAATGGGTTAAGCCTTCCCCTATTTCCTCTAGCGGCTGTCTCATTGACAGCCGCTAGAGGCGCTTGCGTGCTTCTCACTGTGAGAGCACGCCAAAGTCCATAGGAAAGCATTGATAATGCTTTCCTATGCGACCGGCTGAATGCGTGCGCAGCTCTTGCCGCGCGTGCGCATTCAGCCGACGGGACGGAACGGAGGAGGATCGGAGGAGGAGAGCTCCCCGCCCAGCGCTGGAAAAAGGTAAGTTTTTACCCCTTTCCCCCTTCCAGAGCTGGGCGGGAGGGGGTCCCTGAGGGTGGGGGCACCCTAAGGGCACTATAGTGCCATGAAAACGAGTGTGTTTTCCTGGCACTATAGTGGTCCTTTAAGCAGATTGAGAAAAAAAAAATGGGTGCATAAAAGCCCCAAATGGACATTGCACATTTCACTATTTGGGTAATGATGTAAACATACCCAAACTGTACATTTTTATTTGTCTGTATCACACAACTTGCCGTTTAGAGTGCGAACCCCCTTGTTACCAAGTGATAATTCTGCACAGGATGTCTGGAGGTCACTGGCAGATTTACAAAGATTAGCATAAAAGAAACATCTTCGGACAGAAAAGAAAGTTCATACAATGTTCATTCAAAATATTACAGCCAACTGACAGCCCTTGAATTATTGTACCAATATAAGTAGCAGAAACACCTAAACACTTAATACACTACAGAGTTAGATATATAGAGAATTGAGCGGTGAGATTACAGGATCTATACACCCAAACCACTTGTTTAAGATAAAGTTGTTTTGGTGCTTAGAGTGTTTCTTTAAAGGAACAATAGAGCATTAAGGACTACGAAAGCGCATTCCAACACTACAGTGTCCCTCAGTGGTAAGACTATGGTCTGCTTCCCGGTGGGCGTGGAAACGGGAAAACAAAAATAAAACCCAACTTACTTCTTTCCAGTGCCAAGATTCCTCAGCACTGGCTCTGTCTCCTCCAATGCCAGAAGTGGGGGAAAAGTTAATGTGTGGAAAGCATTACCGACTGATTCCTCTCTTGCAACTGTCACTAGTCTAATACTATCCTTACCTTTTGTGCTACTTTACCCCACTCCCTCTAGCATGTAAGCTCATTGAGCAGGGCTCTCAGCCCCTCTGTTACTGTGTGTCCAACTTGTCTGGTTTTAACTACATGTCTGTTCGTCCACCCATTGCAAAGCACTGAGGAATTTGACGGCGCTATATAAATAATAACAATGGAATCACTGCTTTCCTATTGGAATTTTGAAGACTCATGTCATCATGCAAAGCGCAAGGAGGTCAAGCGTTGTTTCACAGAGTTAAACTGTGTGTAAATGCAAAAAGTGCCTCTAATGGCTTTCTGAGAGACAGCCACTAGAGGTAGTTTTAACCCTGCAACATAAACATTGCAGTCTCTCTGAAACTGCATGTTTTACATTACAGGGCAAATAGGACAAGGACACTGCACTCAGACCACTTCAATGAGATAAAGTGGTCTGGGTGCCAAGTGTCCCTTTAAGCATCTATTTGCATTAACTACTTATGTGTTATATTAGTGGTTTTCTCCCAAAGGCACTATAGATTTAACAGACTTGGAATATTATTCAACGTATAGGGACTCTTCAGGAATCCAGGTGTGAATGATAATGCTCACTTGCCGCGACGTCTAAATCATATTCTGCTGAAATCTTTGCCAAGCCAGTTTTCGTTAAACAAAGTGATTTCTATAAACATTGGCGATTCATAATTGCCCCTTGGGTACTTTGAGTTTAAAGTGAAGTTGCATATGGGAGACAACATGGCATTCAGGTAAATGATACAAATTAAGATACACATTATGCTACCAAAATGACAAGCAACAGATCAAATAGATACATTTGACTGATATGTGCTGTTTAGTAAGTCCATGGCTCGACCACCGAATGCTACACAGTGCCGATTTGTTGAGATTAACCTTTTATGGGTCGATCAGTTATAAGTTCAGATCTCTGATCGTCTGTGCCATAGTTTTTGTATAGTTCTGCCTACCTGAATCATCCGGCAATAAGCCAAAGGGTTACTCCAAGCACCATGACCACTTCAGAGATGTGAAGTCACCATGGTGCCTTGAGTCTGTATTTGCAATGAAAAACTGCACATACAGAGATTAACCCCCTGCCACTGGAGATGTCATTGGGGTGCCACTAACCAGCTATGAATAAGAGTTTTGAGTGGCTAATATTTGGCATGTTTGGCACCTGTTGTGGTGGAGGATTGAGCTGCAGGCCAACTCCATGAGGAGAGAGTGACGAAAGCAGTGGAGGATCGGCTGCAGGCCAAACTACATGAGTAGGGAATGACGCCAGTGGTGGAGAATCGGGCTGCAGGCCTTGGCGCTAATCGAGAGGAGTTTTACCTATTTTATGTGCCTTTCTTTTCTTGGCCTAACTGCTGGCAAATGTGAAAATTAATATGATTTAGATAATTTTTATACCCAGTCAGTGGAGATCAGGTTTACCCCTTGCTTTTATGTATAAAAAGACAGTCCAGTCCTTGAACTCAGATTAACCCTGCAAAGTCATGCAAAACATTCAATGCCGGGTGCTAAAGATAGCCACAGCCAAAATATACAAAAATATATAAAATGGGCTAGCACTCACGGTATTGTAGTTAAAAGGTAGAAATCTTTATTGTGTTATTCCATAAAATCGACGTTTGAGCCCACGTCCGGGGCTTTCCTCAGGATCAACAAACAACAACATACTAGCCTAAAATGCTGTAATATATATCCCGTAAGGAAAAGGAAAATTGAACTGGTATGCCTCAATATCACGTTAAAACAAGCAAAACTCTTTCTGCCAAAGATTAATACTGGGCTGGGTACAACCAGTTCATTACTTACTGGGAAGGTTTCTGTAAAAGCACACAATGACTGGCCGCAGCTCACCTGTTTGTTTAGGTAGAGACTCTGTGACAAGCGAAACGCAATGGTAACCGAACACTAATAAAACAAAAATAGCAAGATTGCAAATATTTTCATATTAGTCATCCAGAGAAACAGGCCAAGTAAAAAGAATTGGCATTTCTCATGGAAAACCCTGTGTAAACCCATCTTTCAGCAGAAAGGTCAGCAAGGCGCAAACGGAGGGACCTTTAATAGGGCAATAATTAACATATCACCCAGCAACGTAAACTCATCCAATACATGAGCTCAACAGCCTTCAAGTCCTGCTGGAAGAAGCCTCTAATCCTGGCCTTAAATGGATATTCACTCCAGGAACAAGACACACAAAAAGTAATGCTTCTCAGAATAAGCTGATTTATTTTGTTAGTTTAGTAAAAGTATCTATTCTACAGTTCTTGCCATCTGCCTCTCTGAGATCACAGCCTGCACAGTGCAATAGGGCTTCCCCACTTAAAATAATGGTAGCAATGGTTTCATACACAGAGCATCCACAATGGCCTCCCATTCGCTTCAATAGAATACATCACCAGTACACTGTGCATGCATTAATCTCATAGGAAATAAACACTGCCACACACAAATATTGACTTACACAAATACTAATTTTATATTAATTTCAAAACAGACATTACTAATGTGCAAAATGCAAACAAAGCTTCAGGATTACACAGCCACAGTATTGTTCATTTATACTAACACTATTACATGATATTATCCATATACACTGCAGTTTATACAGTTATTACGCACATTTTTATTTTTATTTATCCACACACACACACACACACACGGTGCCAAATGACTTTAATGGCCAATAGCAGCCACGTGTCTGTGTGAGCTTGCCAAGTAGTGAATTATCGGTGCTGGAATGATCTGTCAAAGAAATCGGACAATCGATGCATTAAAATACTCCATTGAGTATGCAATAAACCAAAAATATGAAGGAAAAAAATGCTTTAAGCATGTGCACATTTCATAGACTATAGTGCGAAGAACTTCTTTGTCATTATATAGCTTATCCATGTAACAGTTTACTAAATTGCTGCCAAAAGAAACCTGCACCTTAACAAAACAAGTATTCCTTGCATGTAGTCACCGTCTGAGCCCTCGCGTGTCAAGAAGAGATGGTCCAATCAAATTTTGGACTCTGAAGCCTCAGTTTACGGGATAAGGATTTTATCACCCAAGGCCAGTTACACTCAGTGCATAAGACGACAAGTACATTGCTATATACACCCAGCTTCACACAGCGGCTGCTACCCAGCTTCACACAGCGGCTGCTACCCAGCTTCACACAGCGGCTGCTACCCAGCTTCACACAGCGGCTGCTACCCAGCTTCACACAGCCTCCAATCAGCAGAACAGCAATCGGAGTATTGCTTATTTATTTTCCTCTACGAAAGGAGTTCAAAGCCAGACTGCAAAATTTAGACCAGATATACAAGTTGAAAAAAAAACAAAAAACAATAAATTGGAAACACACAGCTATTTTGACAAAATATTGTGAATTTAATTTGCAAATGACCATTAAGTGATTACACTACAAAACAATTACTCAAATATCATTCTGGCAAAATAAAAACGTCAAAGGATAATCTGTGTGCTTGGGCCAATAGGATATCTCAACACAATCAATCATCTGCATGATTGAAGTGGCTCTCTCAACTACCCCTTCCACCCCTCTGTGTTGAAATTTCACTGAGATTCCAGCCCAGTCAAAAGATATAGCTACACCTGATAATTATTGACCTATTTGACATAATTATAGCTTGTCTGTCACTTTCAGGCGTCTTTGCAAATACCCCAAAGGTGACATCTCCAGTTAGAATCTGGTGGCCAACGTGACTTAAATTAAGTTTTACTTACCTGCAGCGGTCCCTTAAAGATGTCGCCATCTTCATCCTGGAGACCCTCTACGAGAGTACAATATTGTGGTGAACAAAGGTTCCTGCGAGACAGGTGGAGCCTCTATAGATCACGTCTCACTAAGAGTGACTTGTGGGATTGAACAAAAGTTGATTGGGAAGCTACACCTTTTGCCAACCTCATGCTTGTTCATAAGAAAGTAGTCCTTACTTTACCTTATTGTATCTTTGGATTGAGATTCCAATGCAGTGCAAATAGGATTTTATAAAGAATATATACACAATACTGAAAAGTGACAGAGCTGCATTAATTATATACAATGGTAAATTACAAATTATCTATTAAATGAATAAATTAAAATTTACCAGTATATGGGGGGCATCTATGTACTTGTGCAGTAAAAGCGAACAGTATTTAGACATTCAGAGTTAACATACCATGCAGAACTTGAAAAATAAGATTTTATTTAAATTGTATTCATGTTAAGTGAGGTTTCATATAGAAAATATTTCATATGAAATGAAAGCACTTCTCCTGAACAAAATGATATATAATAAGTGTAGGTGTCCTTAATATGTAAGAGGTAAATTATGGTTTAAAAATCCCATTGTCCTGCTTTTAAATGCAATTCATTGGTACATGCCTAACCCCCAGTGCAGTCTGTGTCCTGAACTGGCCACGTGTGGAACATGCAGAGACAAGACCATGCACCACCTGATTCAGCTGCATTGTTAAGGTCTTTGCAGGCACTAACACGTTATCTGGAATAGGTGTGATATGCAGAACTAACTCAGCTGAGCAAGATCTGATATCAAACTCTGCGTATATTTATACAATGAAAACAATGTTAATTAACCTTTCAAACGGCTGGAAAAGGGAATGCCAAAAGCACAACTTTGTGCACAAAGAGTTAAAGGACAAAAGGAACATGCTACCTACACAGATCATCATGCCTCACCTGAGGGATTACAAGTTAAAGGATTTTGTTCACCGTGACGCACAAAACCTGACAATTTGTTATATGCCGGAGGGGTGAGCAACTGGTTTCTATAGGAATGAATTTATCAACCCTCTGGCGCATAAAGGGTGTACCTGTCAAACACATAAGTGTTAGCATAAACATAGGTTTAATAGAGTGGAGTTCAGTGCAAAGACAGAGGGCAATGTGTGTATAACCCACGCAACCGATTCTCCACAATCCTCCTCCTTGATCTGGGAGAAACAATCAGATTGGAGCAAAATGAGAGAGCAAAGAAATGAGGAAGAAACACACACAAACAAAACTGTCTCTTCATGCAGTCAAACCCAGGCCCCACTGTGGCCAGTCAGTAAATTCTGAAATTGCATTTCCACATTATTCTTCAAAACTGATCAACCTTGTATATAAAACAAGGCTTTGAGCGCCTGGTTATCCGCCATCAGCCCATTACTGCTACCGCAGTTAGACAATTTATATGGAGAATGCAACAAAGGAAGGGGAGGGTTTGGGTGCCAAAAAGAGCCCTCTTCCATATATTAGATGACAACTTTTACCTGAATTGTTCCCTTACATTCAGGGAGAAAAATACTTGTAGAAGTGAAAGCAAGTTGCTGCAGGCTCCACTTACCTGCATGAGTAAATCTCACTTATTTTTTCTCCCCAATGAATGAAAACCTGCTTAAAGCTGTACGGAGTATCTATAAATCTGTGTATGTTGGTTCGAGACATACAACCTACCTATGGAAAGCTACTATCTTGACCAATTCCTGGATGAATAGGACATTAATGGGGACGGACGGACAGACAAACTAGATCAATATATATTACAGTGGTACCTCGGTTTACGAATTCAATGCGTTCTCTGAGACGTTTCTTAGTGCGAAAAATTTGTAAACCAAAACGCTGTTTCCCATAGGAATGCATTGAAAACCAATTAATCCATTCTGGAGGTCAGAAAAAAGTCAAAACGAACTGGCATGGAAACCAACCCACAATGCAGAACACAGTAAAAGGCATGCAAACGATGAATCTCAGCTCCTTACCTTTCCACCGCTTAAGAAATGCACCAAAAAAGTTCCAAAAAGTCCCAAAATCACAGCGAAAATTTTTCCAGAAAGGCTACAAAACCTCGATGCAAAAGCCGCTCCAACACCCCCAACAACTCCACACTTGACGCCACGTGCTACCCACAGACTCCAGCATACACGTTAGGCAGCGCTATAAACCTCCCAGGCGCAATGCATCCTGGTGAAACTTGCTTTGTATTGTGTAAACATTTTTTTAAACCAAGGCATCATTTTCAATGGACTTTCATTTGAAAACCAAAAATTATGTTAACTGAGGCGTTTGTAAACAGAGGTACGTGTGTGTGTGTGTGTGTGTGTGTGTGTGTGTGTGTAATATATACATATATATATTCACAATCAAAGATTGATCGTTCAGCAGAATATGCTTTTGCTATTGCAATCATTAGATTTTAGGAGTCCCGGATACCTGGCTTTTGGGATTTGCCCAGGCCTGTCTGTATTGCATGTCGAGTAGTGCTGGCATTATTCATCTTGACTATTACATTGAGCATTAAGCATCTGCCGGAGATATAATGTAATATAAAAATGTTAGAACTAGTCCAGTCATGTTCCAACTAATCATTCTAATACAAGACACATTTGTTCAAATGCAAAATAAATTTCACTGACAGTCTGAAAGCTGTTTATTTATCAATAGCCCAGATCACAAATACTTCAGGAAAAATGCATTAATTTAAAGGACCACTACGGGCACCCAGACCACTTCAACTCAATGAAGTGGTCTGGGTGCCAGGTCCCCCTAGTTTTAACCCTGCAGCTAAAAACATAGTTTCAGAGAGCTGCTATGTTTACACTGCAAGGTTAATCCAGCCTGTAATGGCTGTCTTCCTGAAAGCCACCAAATCGCACTTACTTGACGCTAGACATCCTCACAAAATCCATCATCAAATATGATCACCATAAGAAAGGATTGAGTAATGCTTTCCTATGGGCGGGTTTGACTGCGCGTGCGTATCTGGCTGCAATGCACAGTCGGCTCCACTCAGAAGCTGATGTCAATGGAGGAGAGGTCACTAGTGCCGAGGGAGCCCGGTGCTGGATTAAGGTAAGCAAATAAATGGTTAACCATTTATTCGCCGCGGAACGGGGCCCTAGTCACCGTTTAGGTGACTACGGCTCTATAGCGTTAGGAATACATACTTCTATTCCTAACGCAATAGTGTTCCTTTAAAGTTATTCACTGAAGCCATCTACAAGCACACACAGCAGTCTGGTCAGGGGAGGTAATTAGCAATCTTCCACTTTAAACCATTCCCTGAGCTTGGTTGCTGACACCCAAGGCGTAGTACCCTGGGCACAGCTTTCTGTTGGGTTGATTCGGAATAGTACTGGAATTGGCTAGACAGTTTATCCTGTAGTTTAGACCCAACCTTCAAATACCATTGTAAAGAAAGAGGAAAAATAAAGGAGCTGAAATCAATGCTGCAAACAGATTCTAACGTGATACAAAGGCCGCTGACTTGAATGATGTCAGCGACACATGCCATCCATTATAAATTCTCAGATCAAACACTTCTCATAGAGCCAGATGAACAACAATTTCCAAACCTGGCCAATCAATTCTTTATATTAATCATTCACTGTGTTCAACTCCTGAAGACCTCACATGGAAAGAGCTCTAGTGGCTGTATAACTGGCCATTGGACTGAAATGTAAACACCGCTATCTCTCGCAAATGTCTGACAGTAGGAAATCAGTTATTTGCACCAAAAGTACTACAGACAAATGCAACAATTTGGTGATTAGAGAGTCCCTTTAATTAAACTAAAAAGTATTGAATCCAAAAGTTGTAATAAAACAATTAACAATAAAAAATAAATCTCAATTATCTTTACATCTATTCATGCAGCACACAGTCACTTACATCAGATGTACTACAATAGAATTTAGTAGGTTTCAGGCATTCTAGGACAGAAAAGAAGATCAAACAGGATGATCTTCCATATTTGAGTTTTGTTTAATGGCTGATAATTATTTCCAGAAACCTCTATCCAGTATAGATCACTTAGACTGGATAGAGCACCTTAACACCATGCTAACTAATCCCAGTTACCAAAACCAAAGAGATTTAAAGGGACACTATGCAATATAACTTGCTGCAGTTTTTATTATTTTATTATTCATATGGCGCCAGCAAATTCCATAGCGCTGTATGTGTTGCCTTGAGAGCCCTGGGCCATCCCCTGTTTAGAAATAGTTTGACATAAACAAGCATTTTGTCTGGCCCCTTACCCCGAATACAGAATTCACACATTATTAGTGCCAGATTCCTCCAATAGAGCGTGCTGTGGCAAGTTACCCTAACCTGTGTTATGTTTAAGTACTTACCTGCCCATCACCATAACAAAATGGAGGATTGTTGAGCAGCTTTCTCCTACACAGCCTTGAATAATTGGAATAACCTATCAGAGAATATCAAATTTGGCACTAGTCTGCAGTCTATAAAAACATTCTCCTTTCAATCAAACCGTAACTGCCCTCATAGTTATTTTATTAGTTAGTATGTGCCCTCCAGGACATAACTGAGAACAGATATCTCAATCTATCCTGCACAGTAAAACATTTCGTAAATACATTATATCACATGGTACCTAAACACTGAGTGATTACTTTAATGTACCTGACATTAAAGGGCCACTTTCTCCGTAAAGTGGTCTGGGTGCCTGTAGTTTTACACGGACTCTCTCTCACATGCTGGAAGTTCCACCACGCGGACACCTTTCATTCTGGCCTAAGGAGTCTTGGCACTCCTCATCGCAAACTGTAGCTGCCATCACTTTAAACACAGCCCGGTTTCAAGTTTTATTAACTGGGCTGTATAATGTGTGGTGCCTGACGTGACATGGACACAGCAAAGGTGGAAAGAAAGATTCTTCCTTTCTGGGTGCTGGCAATAGCTGCAGCAATGTTATAATCCACTCACGAGCTGCTGCCCCAAAGTGGTTATAGTGCTTAGGGACACTGAACACCAAAGCCACAAGAGCTGACTGTAATGGTGGAACGAGTCTCTGGGTGCGGACACTCTGGTTTTTGTGAAACCATTCTCACAATACGACAAAAACCAGAGCTCTCCTACCACCTAATGTCAGTTTATTGCTACCAGTATTTAGGAGGATGGGGAGAGGAGAACGACATTTTTTAGGAGCAACACAAAGGTTAAAAGTACCACTGCTACAGACAGATCTATATCTTGAAATTTATAGATGTAGAAAAATGTAGTGATGCACTTTCAGTACTAGATTCATTTTCTATTAATTTGTATTCTGTTTAAACCTAAACAGGGTCTTTCAAGATCTATATCTACACATTTACACACAATCACATTCTCTCCAGTTTGAGAAAAGCCACATATTGTTTCTGCTGCTGCACATATGGAAAAATAGCACTAAAATCGGACACAGAAAACTGCATTTATTAACCTCAGATAAGCAAGATGTATAAAGAAATTAGACAAACTATATTTAATCTGTAATTTTGTACCTCTAACCCACGAAAACAAAAACAGATTAATTTGCTAAATAAAATGAGTGCAGAGGCAGAATGCAAATCTGTGAGTATTCTGTTATACCCCCCCAGCATGATATCTTAAAACGAAACTAGAAAAAGTCTTTCAGGAATGATGAACCACGAGCCAGTTAAACTACATCCTAGTAAGTAGGAGTTTATGGGACACAAAATACATTCCCACTGAAAACGTAAATCCAGGATTTGACCGATGAATCTCACTAATTGCAGCCTGCAGCGTCATTTTATGGTTTCCTACATTTCTACTTCTTTTTTACAATCACTAAAAAAAACCTTACATAGATAGGGGTCTGTAGAAGGCTATCAAGCTTTCTCAAAATGTTTTGTTCTAAAAAGTAGGCCAATTACCATGGAAACCAACAAGCACATCCCTCCCCTTTTACATTTTGCACCATTTTTATAACAAACATTTAGATAACCATCCCCTTGTCTCAATTCTAGTTAATAAAAAACAAAAAAAAACAAAAACCCTCTTTATTACCACCGTTGAAAGATATATATTTTTTTTTATAAAATACAAGATGAGCCATTATTAACGATCACCAATTTGGAGCAAATTTCCCAGAAGGCATGTGTCCACTTCAAACATAGCCACTATCTTAACAAAAATAAATAAATAAATCAAACAACTTCTAAAACTGGCACCAAAATAAGGAGAGAAAGGAACCTTCCAAACTGGCTCAATGGCAGATATAAAATTCATCACTATGAATAGATCTAAATAATGCAATAAAAAACAAGTATTTTAAAAATGCACACAAAAAAACAAACAACACACAGATGGCACAGGATCTAATATAGGAAATCAGTATAAAAAGTGACAATGTCTGATGAGTACTGTTGGGGACAGGCCACCTAGTCCAACATTACATTTCACTTAAAGGAACACTATAGTCACCTAAATTACTTTAGCTAAATAAAGCAGTTTTAGTGTATAGATCATTCCCCTGCAATTTCACTGCTCAATTCACTGTCATTTAGGAGTTAAATCACTTTGTTTCTGTTTATGCAGCCCTAGCCACACCTCCCCTGGCTATGATTGACAGAGCCTGCATGAAAAAAAAAACTGGTTTTACTTTCAAACAGATGTAATTTACCTTAAATAATTGTATCTCAATCTCTAAATTGAACTTTAATCACATACAGGAGGCTCTTGCAGGGTCTAGCAAGCTATTAACATAGCAGGGGATAAGAAAATCTTAATTAAACAGAACTTGCAATAAAGAAAGGCTAAATAGGGCTCTCTTTACAGGAAGTGTTTATGGAAGGCTGTGCAAGTCACATGCAGGGAGGTGTGACTAGGGTTCATAAACAAAGGGATTTAACTCCTAAATGGCAGAGGATTGCGCAGTTATACTGCAGGGGCATGCTCTATACACCAAAACTGCTTCATTAAGCTAAAGTTGTTCAGGTGACTATAGTGTCCCTTTAAGTTTTATTGAACGATCTTTATGTTGATTAGAGACGTTTGTATTTTCTCAGTTGAAGGATTTCTTAACATCTGGCATTATGTACCACCAGAAGAACTACAGCACGAAGTAGTTCTCGTGTCTATAATCTGTCCCCACAGGCTTTTTAATGTAAACACTGCGGCCTAGTTATAGCTCTAGTGACACTCAGGGAGCCACGAGAGGTGCTTCCTGGGACAGTGGTGCTGGCGTTCAACGTCTCCAAGTTCTGCATGAAGGCTCTGAACTTTTCCCCATAGAGATGCACTGATTAAATGTGTCTCTATAACTCAATGAGGAGATGATGAAGGCAATGTGAAAGAAGTGGGAAAGCATTGGATTGGCTGAGATCATCAAGCTGATCTGATGATCACAGCCATGGGCTGTGCATGTGAGAAGAATTTGAGTAATGTCACCGTTTTACTGCAAAGAGAGGGGGAACTACACAGGTATTTTACCACTTCAGTGTCAGGAACGTTAGTGTTGTTTTGGTGCCTATAGTGTCCCTTTAATGTTGATCTTGACAACTAGCTCAACTAGATTAGTACTTGCTATTTGGCACAGTTCCACAGTTTAGTGCAATGATTTCACCAGTGATTGTATCAGTTGGCACTGTAGCTGCTGTATAGTCTTATCTGCAATATCATCCACTGGATAACCACAACAGTTTGCAGGAAAGTTCCCTCATTTCAAGGTTAGGTGCACTTTGTAGGTTGGTTATTTTTTTAGATGTTTATATTCTTAAAGGTACACTCTAGTTACCAGAACCATTACAGTATAGATGTAGTGGTTCTGGGGCAAAAACCCTGTCCCTGCAAGTGGAGCATTGTCAACGCTGCTTTTTCTGAGAATACTTTTCAGAATACTACCCCTACTCCCACTTTGTCCTGGAATTAACTATTCCCTTTATACTTCTGTACAGGATGTCATGACTTAGACATATGGGAATTGCTGTTAGTTTTCTACAGTGGAACGCTGGCAACTGAACTAAAACACTCAGAAACATGTGCAATGCGTATAAAGCACCATACATAAGAGAGAAGCACAGTAATGCTATGGAACTTCCAAGTTTGGTGTGAGCTCATTGTATTGCAGAAGTCGCAAAGCCCTTTTACTCCAAGCAAATGCAGGACCTTTACATTTTTTGTAAGATTTCTAATATTGTGTTGCTTTTTATAGCTCAGTAAAATGAGAATGATTAAAGAAACACAAAATGTACAATAACAACTTCAACCCACTATCATGGTTATGGCGCAGTGAAGGCCATGGAACCAGCCCTGTGTAATGTGTCATGGTGTTTTACACTTACCTGAGTCCCACCAGGGATCCACACTGCTTCTGGGCTTCTAGAACATGAAAAGCCAATACAGGCTATTATTCACTAGCCGAGTGTCTCTAAGCTGAGTGTACGTATAGACAAGAGTTTTAAAATCACGGTACATTTAAGTCATTGCTAAAACGACTGTCCAAAAGTGTACATTACAAGGTATTGGGAAATCATCAGAAAGACTACTCTAGCATGTCTGATAGGAGCAGATGTTTATAATACACGAGTATTAAAGTTGTCTAACAGGTAGTAGTGGGTATTTGTTTGACAGGTGGCAAAGGGAACTGCATTTGCAATGCCACTCATTCCAACAATTCAAATCAAATGAGTGGTGGTTGTAGCAGAAATATATATATTTTTACTCACACATGTAAAGGCAGAAAGGGGTGTTATTATATACAGTATATATTATATATATTTTTTACTCACACATGTAAAGGCAGAGGGGGTATTATTATTATACACAGTATATATTATTATAGATTATATATATATATATTTTACTCAGATGTAAAGGCAGAGGGGGGTAGTATTATACACAGTATATATGATTATATAATATATATATTTTTAGTCACACATGTAAAGGCGGGGGGGTATTATATATTATACACAGTATATATTATATTTATTTTTTTATTCACATGTAAAGGCAGATGGGGTGTATTATTATACACAGTATATATTATATACAGTATACATTATTATATATATTATATATATTTGTTACTCACATGTAAAGGCGGGGGGGGTGTTATTATATATTATTATACACAGTATATATTATATATTTTTTTACTCACACATGTAAAGGCAGAGGGGGGTGTTATTATATATTATACAGAGTATATATTATATATTTGTTTACTCACATGTAAAGGCGGGGGGGGTGTTATATATTATTATTATACACAGTATATATTATATATTTTTTACTCACACATGTAAAGGCGGGGGGGGGGTGTTTTTATACACAGTATATATTATATATATATATTTTTATCACACATGTAAAGACAGGGGGTGTTATATATTATTATTATACATAGTATATATTATATATATTTTTTACTCACATGTAAAGTCAGGGGGGGTGTTATTATATATTATACACAGTATATATTATTTAATATATTTTTTTACTCACACATGTAAAGGCGGGGGGGTGTTATTATATATTATTATACAGAGTCTATATTATATATATTTTATTGTTACTCACACATGTAAAGGCAGAGGGGGGTGTTCTTATATATTATTATACACAGTATATATATTATATATTATATTGTTACTCACACATGTAAAGGCAGAGGGGGGGTGTTATATATTATTATACACAGTATATATTATATTTTATTGTTACTCACACATGTAAAGGCAGGGGGGGGCTGTTATTATATATTATACACAGTATATATTATATTATTTATTTTATTGTTACTCACACATGTAAAAGCAGAGGGGGGGCGTAATTATTATATATTATTATTATACACAGTATATATTATATATATAATATTTTATTGTTACTCACATGTAAAGGCAGGGGGGTGTTATTATATATTATTATACACAGTATATATCATATATTATTGTTACTCACACATGTAAAGGCAGAAGCGTGTGTTATATATTATACACAGTATATATTATTATATTATTGTTACTCACACATGTAAAGGCAGAGGGGAGGTGTTATTATATATTATTATTATACACAGTATATATTATATATTTTATTGTTACTCACACATTTAAAGGCAGAGGGGGGTGTTATTACGTATTATATATTATTATTATTATACACAGTATATATTATATTATTGTTACTCACACATGTAAAGGCAGAGGGGGGTGTTATATATTATTATTATACACAGTATATATTATTATATTATTGTTACTCACACGTAAAGGCAGAGGGAGGGGTGGTGTTATATATTATTATACACAGTATATATTATTATACACAGTATATATTATTGTTACTCACACGTAAAGGCAGGGGGGGGGTGTTATTATATATTATTATTATACACAGTATATATTATATATATATTATTATTATAGTTACTCACACATGTAAAGGCAGAGGGGGGGGTGTTATTATATATTATTATTATTATACACAGTATATATTATATATTATTATTATATATATTATTGTTACTCACACATGTAAAGGCAGAGGGGGGGTGTTATTATATATTATTATACACAGTATATATTATATATTATATTATTATTGTTACTCACACATGTAGAGGGGGGTGTTATTATATATTATTATACACAGTATATATTATTATTATTATATATATATTATTGTAGTTACTCACACATGTAAAGGCAGAGGGGGGTATTATTATATATTATTATTATACACAGTATATATATTATTAGATTATTGTAGTTACTCACACATGTAAAGGCAGAGGGGGGTATTATTATATATTATTATTATACACAGTATATATATATTATTAGATTATTGTAGTTACTCACACATGTAAAGGCAGAGGGGGGTATTATTATATATTATTATTATACACAGTATATATGATATATTATTATATATATATATTATATTATTATAGTTACTCACACATGTAAAGGCAGAGGGGGGTGTTATTATATATTATTATTATACACAGTATATATTATTATTATACACAGTATATATATATTATTAGATTATTGTAGTTACTCACACATGTAAAGGCAGAGGGGGGTATTATTATATATTATTATTATACACAGTATATATGATATATTATTATATATTATATTATTATAGTTACTCACACATGTAAAGGCAGAGGGTGTTATTATATATTATTATTATTACACAGTATATATTATTATTATATATTATTATTATAGTTACTCACATGTAAAGGCAGAGGGTGTTATTATATATTATTATTATACATATATATTATTATTATACACAGTATATATATATTATTAGATTATTGTAGTTACTCACACATGTAAAGGCAGAGGGGGGTATTATTATATATTATTATTACACAGTATATATGATATATTATTATATATATATTATTATAGTTACTCACACATGTAAAGGCAGAGGGGGGGGGGTGTTATTATATATTATTATTATTATACACAGTATATATTATTATTATATTATTGTAGTTACTCACACATGTAAAGGCAGAGGGGGGTGCAGCAGCTCAGGCATGGGATCCCTCTCCCAGGACAGGTATGTGGGGTCAGCCTAGCACAGGGAAGTTGCATGTTGCAGGACTTGCTGCATGTTGGTCCCATGCAGCCTGCACAGAGCCGGGCTCCCCCCTCGGACACAGCCTTCCTGCCCTCTCCCCTTCCTCTCACACTCTCTAACAGCAGCCCTGGAGAGACGTGGCAGAGCGAGCTGATGGCGTCATCACCGGCCGACGGACACCGCGCACGCGTATAACGGCGGCGGAGAGCAGCAGGCTGGGAGCGGGGATTCCCCGCCGCCATCTTGGTGGTGGCAAAAAGAGAGACAGAGAGAGAGTCATTACTTTCATATATATATATTTTTTAATTTTTTTTTTAAATAAAATAAATTTCTGAAAGGCTAGTTGAAGTGGTTGTGGTTATTCTTACGTCCAGTGTTAAAATGGAAAATTCCATGTGTATGTAGAGTTCAAATGCTACAATTACAGGATTTGAATCCCACATACTACAGGGCAGCACTTTTCATTTGCAACCCATCCAACATGATGAGGGATGTGATGTGTGCCCCAGGAAAAACAATTTTTTTGATCTGGCACAAAAATTTTAAATACATACCTCCCAACCTTTCAAATGGAGAAAGAGGGGAACTTTAATTTTAGGTGTGTGAGTGGGGGGTGTTGCCAGGGGCAGGGCTGTTCTGGAAATTTTAAATCACTTTCTAGAAAGGTGAACACATTTATTGTAGTTTAAAGATACATTACTGGGAGTATTATTGCTGTGGAGCTCTGTTATACACTCAGACACATTACTGGGAGTATTATTGCTATGGAGCTCTGTTATACACTCAGACACATTACTGGGAGTATTATTACTGTGGAGCTCTGTTATACACTCAGACACATCACTGGGAGTATTATTGCTGTGGAGCTCTGTTATACACTCAGACACATTACTGGGAGTATTATTGCTGTGGAGCTCTGGTATACACCCAGACACATTACTGGGAGTGTTTTTGCTGTGGAGCCTATTAACCCCTCATTTGGATTATGGTGGTTTGCATTTTAGCATTCCAAAACTATATATATATAATTATTAAGGTTCTTAACATGATATTTGCCACACGTGGACTATTCCAATTTTCTTGCACATGCTGGGACACAAGTGGGGAGTAAAGGTGGCACTTTCACCAGTTGATGGGTAGAATTCTGCATTAAGGATATTAATAAGTTAATTAGGAAGTTAAAGGGATACTATAGTGTAAGAAATACAAATCTGTATACCTTACACGCTAGCTCCCTCTGCGTTAAACCGTTCGAGAATGGTTTAACTCCTTAAGGTAGGAGTGTGCCCAGGGGGCCTATGGCACCATAACAACATTTATATGAAGTTGCTATGGTGACCAGAGTGTTCCTTTAAGTGGTAAAATAATGTTTGCACTTTGGATTTGGGTGGAGATACAGTGACCCTTGCTAGGTGCAAACTGTTTATAGTACTTATGGGGCAGACTGTCCGAGCCCAGACATCTCTTGATTGCAAAAACCAGTTCATCCTGGGTGAGGAGAGCCTCCAATAGTTCCATCGCATCAGGCGGGAAGTGTTTTTGAACAAATTTGGATAGGTAGGTTTGTATGTGTGTAGTGTGTGTCTGAATGAAGGCTGGGGAAGAGTGTGTGTGGGAAGGGCATAGAGAGAGAGAGGAACAGTAGAGTAATTGACTATTCTTATTTTTTAGTCACCCGGTTCCCATTATAGGTGCATTTAGTGTGTTTGTCTGCTCTCCTCTACTGCTGACGATTACTACCAACTAGGTGGATTTGGCTATGGAGCCTGTAAAGCGCCCTCTGTTGATAGCAACATCAATATGCACTAACTGAATAGCAAGGCTGGTTAATTTGCATATTCATGTAGATTTGCATATTGCTGTTTCTGTAGGCAGTAGAGCTGTTTTGTGTTTATTATTTTCTTCCTCACCCCTTTATAAATATGATGTTAGGTTATTTTAATTCCCTGTATTTTTTTCTGACATATTTTGATTATTTGTATTTTGTTAAGTCTGTCACAGCAAGGTTGATGTAATGAACTTATGGGCTAGTCTCAAGTAAAACCATTTTATGTCTGTTCCATTTGGAACTGGGTGTCCTATGTGGCTTTTTAGAGTTCCCAGTGACCTGATGGCTAGTTGCTAACTATGAAAAAATCTTCAATACGCATGTGTAGCCACTAACCGAACACATAGAGGAAATGACGTCGCTGGAATGCACGGAAGTGTTCCGTGAAACGCACACGTCATCACCGTGATCGAGAAGGATGAACAGCTGAATGGAATGGATCATCTGAAGCAGAGTTGGGGAACAGAGGTGGAGGAGAGAAATCAACTGCCAGGCCCAGGAAATCGATACGTTGGGAAGGTATCATGACTGGCTGGTCAATTGAGCTAGAATGAGGATACCGTCTAGATAGATGATAAGTTGGACACCTTGACTTCGTAGTAGATAGACCACGGGTTTTATGATTATGGTGAAACACCATGGGGCTGACGAGTGACCGAGTGAACGGGAGGCACCTGAATCTCCATTTTTGTCCTTGCCCCGTGAACTGGAGAAAATGTGAAGTTGATCTGCTACAGCGATCGTGAGATAAGCATCCTGTAAGTCTAATTTGGCCATCCAATACAGTTGTAGTAAGTCGTGTAGACAATGTACGCCTGTGACGGAACGCATGCCACCCCAACTGGGTGCCTCCGTCAAAAGATGCTCCTAGTGCATCAGCACCGCACTCGACACCACAACCACCAACCCCGCAAACTGCCGTAGCTTGGTTGGGGTTTCACTGTCCTCTTCCCACCCTGGACCCAAGATCGGGCTTCAGCTTCCAGTGGGTGACCCTCTCCTAAATCCAGAGAGCAGGAACCTTGAACAAGAACAAGCTCTTACTAGAATTTACTCTGGGGAGTATTGTGATATAGCAATCCCCAGAGTGTAGGCAATTCTCCAATCCCCCAAACATGAGCCAAGACTTCATGAAGGGGTAAGCAGGTCTGTTTAATGCACACAAAAGGACTTTCTTTTATACAAATTTTCAGGCCACAGGCACACCCCCTGGACCTGGTGGTAAATTGTGACAAAAGGGACACAAACCAATGGGAACACTAATTAACAAAATAACAATCCCACATACACAGTAAAATCTCTCCCCTCTATCCTGGAGATAATTGGCTTAAGGAACTGCAGTAAACTCAATTATCTCCAGGTACAGAAAATATCTCCATTTTACACTAACAGTAAAAATAGAAAGGACTAGAAAGAGATTGCTGACAGAACCCGGAGTATGGGTAGGAATCTCCAGAAGGGCTTGTTTACACATCAGTTCCTGAATTTCCTTTAAAACAAGGAGAATATCTTGATGGGAAAAATCAACCTTCCTGGATGGGGAGTTTTAGGCCACGTGTGACACAAAATCTATGTAATAACATGTCACTGCTTGAAGAAACCAAGAAACCAACCATCTGATGTCAAATGCGACCATATATGAGAAAAATGCACGAGTCTACCCCCGACTACCTGTAGGGAAGAATGGGGATTGTAGATACTTGAAGAAATGACTAATATCCCCTGTATGAGAAATATACAGAGGTGGTCAGTATGAGTGGTACCCACTCACTCTGGGCATGAACCCTAGAAACATAACATAACATAACATAGAATAAAGAAAATAAGGAATTTTCTCCTCCAAGAGATTCCTCTTGGATACTATTAAGTAGATAGGCTGATAAAATTTGAGTGCAACATATAACACTTAACAAGGAAGTGAACATTTGATGGTGAAGGATAGGTGTATTAATTATCCAATTGGTAAACCAGCAGACTTTATATGTGTTGCCTAAAATATATTATATAACAGTAAAACAGTGGTAATACTTTGGTCAGTAGCTTAGAGTCTCTTAAGTGTCCAATGTAAATGAGTACATCGGTTTGAAAAGGTAACTTCTGGTCTAATTAGACCTAGAGATAATGGTCTCATTTCAAACCGTGTTACTCTTGGGTTAATATGGAAGAGTACTGTTAAGACACCCCTGGTGTCTTTAAGAGAAACCGCCGTTTAGTTAACCTTCCCCTTTCGCAATATCAGTAACTCCGTTTGCATAAACTGCAGTATACAAACCACCATCAGGGGAAGTGGTAATCTCCCGACCGGAATCCGTGAAAGGCTCCAAACTCCCGAACAGAAATCCACGAAACCGCCGCTAACTGCCGAACAACGATATCCACCTAGCAGCTTTCGGTTCCAATAATCAGTCTCTAGGCGTAAATAACAAATCCCCCCAATAACGAGACAGAAGCTCCGCATTGAGGGTCAAACAGGATATGGCTTTACTGTGGGCTATCTGCCCATATTTATGCAGGTCTCCCACTTGGTGGACACTCCCCTAGGGGACCAAATGGGAGACTGTAATAGCAGATAGACATGGGGACATTTCAGACATACAGATGTAACCTTTTCCCACAATGCAATATGGTTTCCTCCCCTCTGCCCTGGAGATAATTGAGAAGTAATTCAATTATCTCCAGGACAAAGACAAATCGCCATCTTAAATAAAATGCCAGAAAATACATAAAAATACATACATACATTCGTCGAGGCAGCCAGGCGACCCCTTGTTTCAGCGGTGTTCGGCAGAAAAAGTGTCCGTTTTTAGTTCCATGAAATCAGTGCCGAACACCGCTGGGCTTTCGTGTGTTTTAAAATGGCCGCTGCCTCGTGGTCGACATACGAACGACGGCCACCCTGAATTCGGTTTAATTGAGAAGTGTCTGTGGTTAACCACAACGTTCTAATTGGGATCAAGAGGTTAACCAGCAGCACACTTCTATCCTGGGTGGCCATCTGTTCGGTAGATTTGTTCGGTGAAAAACAGTCATTCGTGTGGCTGGGCTATAGAAACAGCCATTTACACGAAAGGGGGCAGAAATAGACGAATCCACCACAATAAACAGACAGATGGTTCTGTCACACGGCTCCCTCCTTGTGGGACACTCCGGCAGACCCGGCTTGACCCTTTGGCGGGTCAACTTGGGGATGACCGGACTAGGAGGTGGTGGAGACGTCAGTTTGCCGGGATAACCCATCTGCATTCCCGTTCTGCTTACCGGGTCGGTAGCGGATAGTGAAATTGTAGGGCTGTAGTGCCAAGCTCCACCTCAGCAGTCTACCATTGTCCCCTGAGACCCGGTTAAGCCAG